ATTCAATTTTTTTTTTCTTTCTCTTGTTTAATGTATGTCTATTCTAGCGATGGACGTTATTCGCGATAGACATTCTACTAGTGATTTGCCTGGACCGCGATCACCAGTGATTCAGTAATACAATAACTATCTATTTTCCAAAATGCTTTACAGTAAAGCTGAATTCACTCTTAGATAAATCACTTAAGGTTGATGTTTTGGCGACTCGCTTTACAACAACCGCGATCACCAAGAAGCGGCGATTCATGTTCAAAACGATACGTAGTCGTCTTTATGAGATTAACACTTTACATTAACGGTAATGAAATGCAGTTTTAAGAACTGTATAGAATGTATCGCGTAGTGTAAAGCGTTTAAATGAAACAACAACATAATGTCGGTATACGTGTGAATGTAATAGGTATATGTTCGTAAGTTCCGCGTTGCTCGGTTTTCGGGGTGATTTTTGTAGCGTTGTAGAAATCGGTGATTGGCGATCTGACAGCAGTTATGTTACGTGATTTAAAAAAAAAGGATAACGACTCATCGCTAGTCTATTCTCATAATCATATTATTCTTTCGATTGACATCATATCACTTTGACGTATTGGCTGTTATTTTTATTTTTATCATGACCAAGGGATTTAACTTATAAAGCCTTGAATATGTATTTTCTCTTTTTTCTTTTCACTGTGGGTTTTTACGGGTTTCAAGGGTTCAGTCAATTACTTTTTCAAACGCAAATTACTTGTTGTGTTTTAGTGACCGACAGTTAGTAACATTTATTTTAATGTATACCTTTTTTTTATTTAACATGATTGTAAGTATCTTCTTTCCGACAACCTGTAGGTATTTACATATATGTTTAGTTTTGTATTTATATTATTTAATTTTTATCTATATTTTTTATATATTATGGATATATCTTTAAATGATGATATATTTTAGTCCTCCTTACACCCATACTATAATAATGGGTGATTTCAATACCTGTTTAAGTAAAAATTACTTCCGCTCCAAAAAGTTACTTTCCTAGTTAACTAAGGAAAGTAACTTTTTGGAGCGGTTAAATTTACACATTCTTCCGTTAAGGGAAATGCACCATTTTCCCAACTGTACTCCATCTCTACTTGACCTTATAATAGTCTCTTCTCCTTCTTTCGCTATTAAGCACGGCCAATATTCTGCTGATGCTTTTTCCTACCACGATTTAGTTTATTTATCATACAAAATCCGTTCTCCTAAATTGAAGCCGACGGTTCAACTTCAGTGTGGTTTTACAGGCATTGATGAGGATCTTCTGCATGAAGATGCTGCCAATATAGACTGGACTGCAATTTTTGCCACAAGCTCAGTGGATGAACAAGTCGAACAATAAGTTAGTTTAATAAGTACCTCACAGATCTTTACGATGTACATGCTCCAGTACGGCCTATTAAAATCAAATGCTTGCCAACTCCTTAGTTAACGAAAGAGATTAAAGGATTTCTGCTAAAGAGGAATAGGGCCAAAGCGAAATTCAGGGCTGACTCTTCAAATGAAAATGAGCTTAAATACAATCGGATAGAAATCGGAGCAATACGGTGATGAGTCGCCCAAAGACGCTATATTCATGAATCCGCGAATAATCAAGTTTCTGGGTAAGTTTGAAAATTCCTTAAATCTCTTGGAGTTGGAAAATCTCATAATAAAATTTCCGATACCAATCTTGACATTCACAAACTTAATAGCTATTTTTCTACTTCTGCCCCTATTGACGGCAATCGTAAGGCTGAAACATTACGTCTTTCAAGTCTACCGACTTTTGATTCTCCATTTCTCCTTTGCCAATTTGCGGACTGAGATGTCCAGAAAACTATCATTTTGATCAATTCCAGTGCAGTGGGTAGTGATTCCATTAGTCGCAAAATGATCCTACCCCTATTCATATTCTGTCCCCAATAATAACTAAGATTCTGAATACTTCAATCTCATCTGGAATTTTTCCTTCATCTTGGAAAGATACAAACCTAATTCCTCTCGCAAAAAAGTCAAACCCATCCTCGTTTTCTGTACACCGTCCCATATTCATTCTTCCATTTCTCTCCAAAGTTCTTTAAAAACTTGTAAACCGTTAGTTACTGGCTTTTCTTAATTCAAACCACCTTAACCCATTTCAATCCGGCTTTCGTACTGGCCATAGTACTACTAATGCATTGGTAAAAATTACTGATGACATTCGACGAGGTATGGAAAATCGTCAGCTTACGTTGTTGATATTGTTAGATTTTAGCAATGCCTTCAATACGGTTGATTTTGACATCCTTCTCGGTATAATGGCTTCTCTCGACATATCTCCAGCTGCATCTTATCAAGGCAGTTTCAGTAATAAACTCTGACCCGTCTCGTATTAGTAATGGAGTAACGGAATTCAGTGAACCCCTCTAAAACTCAAGTGATTCTAATTGGCAGTTCTCATTACATTTCTAGGGTCAGTTCTGAGTTACTACATTCAGTAATTTTCAACGGTATTGTAATTCCCTATTCAAAAATTGTGCCTTGGAAAAAGTTTGGCGTCATCTTCGATCAAAATCTTTCCTGGAAACCGCAGCTGGAGGCTGTTAGAAATGGTATTTGCCACGTACTATTCACTTAATAGACAACGTAACTTTTTGCCTACTAGAACTTTAATTTTTTAGCGCATTCGTTGTTATTATTATTGATCATAGTACGCTGATGTTTGTAACACGGATCTATCAGAGGAACTTCTCAACAAATTAGAGCGTCTGCAGAATATGAGCATCCAATTGATCTTCAATTCAATTGAATTTTCGTTCCCGATTATCTTGACTCCCAATTCGCTGGCGCAGGGACTTACACACTTTAAAGTTACTATATTCTACACTTTTCCTGCCTTCCTCTCCACGTTATCTCAAACAATGTTTCTCTTTTCGATCTTCTTCGTCACTGAGTTCCTTGCGATCCTCGTCCAACCTCACTTTGGATATCCCGCGTCATACTTCCGATTCCTTCTCCTTTTCCTTTTCTGTACATGCTGTGCGTTTACGGAATTCTCTGCCGAAGGATCTAAAGATATATCTTATAATATCCTTCTAACCATTGCACCCAATACCCCATATTTTCCCTTTCCTTTTATTATTCTCCTCCATAGGTTGCCTGGAAGAGATTGCTGTTTAGCAATAAGGCCACCTTTTGTATACTTTGTATTGTTTTAACATGTAATTTCGTTCTGATTTCCTGTCTGTGGGGGTGCAATAAAGATAATATTATTATTATTATTACAGCCAGATTGCATGCATAAAATCGAATCGGTAATACGAGGCAACCATTGGAAATTCCGACGAAGTGTGGCGCCATGCCGGCGGCCCGACTGGCTCGTCAATTGATTTCTAAGCTAACTACCTACTTGTCTAGTGCATTTACAATTTAAGAGTATTTAGGTAAATGAAACGGATATATTTGTTATATGAAGAAAGTGGTTAACTGAATATAAAGAGATTTTCACTCTGTTTTATTAAATTCTAATCTTTACTTTATATTAAGATTATCATTTTTCCGGAGACTTCGCCTTCGTAAAATATAGCCTGTCATCTGTGTATGATGTAGCTTCCCAGCTTCCCGTAGGTGAAAGAATTCTCATAATCGGATCAGTATTTCCGAAGATTACCCTCTACCATCTAAACTTTACCTCTTTATAATATTAATAATTGTTTTCTTGTGAATCCGCACGCCTAAACTAAAGCCTATGACAACCCCGTATGATGTAGCTACTCGTAGGTGAAAGAATTTTTAAAATAGGTCTAGTGGTTTCGGAGCCTATTCGATGCAAACAAATAAATAATCAAATCATTCCTCTTTGTAATATTAGTCTATATAGTACAGACATAATTTTAGGCCACCATTACCCGAATGGTAAAATTTAACCCTATTTCTGAGACTTCCCTGCCCCTCCGTCCATCAGGCTATGTCTATGAACCGTGACAGACAGTTGAAATTTTCACACATGATGGATTTCAGTAGGCGCTATAACAACAAATACTAAAAATTAAATATCTCCCATACAAAAAACAATATTTATTAAATAAAACTATTTTTGAACGGGTGTAATGCGTTTGCATTTATGTGTAATGCGGTTCCATGTTAGTGGAACCAGACTTCCAGACATGGATACAGACTTCTGTCTGTACGCGGTTTAGCTAAAAAGTTATGATTTGGCATGAGTATACGTGTTAATTACGCTGACAGAGTGGTAAAGTAAAGTTTCGAAAAATATTTTTTTTTGTAACTACCTCCCTTACACGTAAAGTGGGCATGATTTTTTTTCGTCTTCTCTTCTCCATAGTATCGTTGGATAGATCTTTTATAAAGATTGGTAAAAGATTAATTAAGCTTTAAAAACCTATTTTTCGTTAGTGTCAAGTGTTCTACCAACTAAACGGTCGTTGGTTAAAATTCAAACGTTACAGCGATAGTACCTATATATAAAGGAATAAATAAAAAGGATAACTATCACAGTTAAGCTGGCTTTATAAGTTTACTAGTAATAGCCGACCAATTATATTTAACTCGTAAATTTCGAACAACTCCATACAAAACAAAAAAAAAAGATTATTTTTTTTACCTTTTATTTAATGGGTAATGGTACGGAACTCTTCGTGCGCGAGTCTGACTCGCATTTGGCTGGTTTTTAATTGAGAGTATAGCAACCTTCAAAACAAAAGTGATGGACGCATTCACAATACAAAAAATTTTTTTGCTCAGTTCGGTACTGAACCCACCCCCTACGTGCGCAAATTCAACTTGCACTCACTACGTAGTATAAAACGTCGCTTTCTCTATCCCTATATCCCTATGTTTGTTTAAATCTTTAAAACTACGCAACGGATTTTGATGCGGTTTGTTTTTCATGGATAGGGTGATTCAAAAGGAAGGTTTTTATGTATATTACAAGATCACGCGGGCGAAGCCGCTGACGGAAAGCTAGTAATCAATAAATAAGACTTGACGTATTTTATATCCAGCCAAATATGCCGCATCAAGCGTGCATGTTACCGAATGGGAAGTCAGGGCACTGCAGGCACTTGCATTACTGCGTGCAGGATGAGTTCAAGGCAGACTTCGGCAAGTTCCTTGACTATCTCTGCATCATCCAGCGATCGTGAGTATACAATACAAAATTGATTGTATATACGTATCTCAGATATTCTATTCCTATGTCATTTCGAAACTCACTTCACTTTTGGCAAACGTTATTACCAATTCAAGGTTGAGTAGATGCCACTTTTTGAAGTGAATTTGGATACCAGAATGAATTCGAATTCGGGTTTGGGTTTTTAAAGAATCGCAGGGCAGATCTTTATATCTCTTTGAAATCCTCAACGAACGATCATTTTATCTTCATGCAAAGCGTGATCATATATTACTTCATCATCAGCACCATCAGTCCTTTCTTTCATGTCCACTGCAGGGGCTCAGGCCTTCCCCATGTTTGGTTAAGAAGGTTGGGCCATGAAATTGGTGAGTGTTAACGACTGCAGATGCAACCGATACGAACGGCTTAACGTGCCTGCCGAATCACGGAGTAGCTTGAAAGTAATTTTTGGTCTACCATTCTATGATCAGCCCGTGCGAAACTGGACTAAACTTCTAACATCAAAGGAGCATTTTTATTCTCCTAAATGCAAGGAACCCAATACAAGTAATCAAAAATAGTTAATCAACGCATGTTTAATTTCATATTATCTATAGATCTGTTGGCGTATGCTGTCCAGATGAATTTGCAGATATTGGCGCAAGAAGTTTAGCTGGCGATCTACCAGCCACGGCCCCAAAGGAAGAGAATATGGAAGCTATTCTCAAAGTAAAAAGGGCTGAAAATAGAGGTCCGTAATCAATATATAATTAAAATTTTGCGATTTTAAAATTATTGTTTCATTTCAAATGTTAAATCCCTTTTTTAATTATTGATAGTTTGAAAATAAATAAAGACGTGTCGATAAATTTTGCAATCAGAATGCCACGTTGATAGTAATATTTTTCTACACAGTACCTTAATATCAAATATGATACTTAGAACTCCTTAATAATATTTCCATCGGCTATTTAGATTATTTACTTAAACACATTAGCAGCCAAAGTATATTCATTGACTTTCAAATATTTAAGAAGTTCTATTGAATAACATTTATTAGGTTGCGGGCTAAGCACAAGATCGCAAAGGCGCGAAGTAGGCATTCGGCCCACCAATCCCCGTGAGTGGCCTTGGATGGCGTCTATCACTCCTCAAGGCTTTGCACAATACTGTGGCGGAGTCCTTATCACCGATAGGCATGTCCTTACCGCTACACACTGCACAAGAAGGTCGGTATTCAAGAGAGAGTTCTTACGTTTCTTGCACGTAGAATCAAATCAAATGATAAAATAGCTCGAGTTTATGTGTTTTACCATGCATTATTTATATCTAATGCAAACCAAATTAAAAAATAAACTGTAATACAGATGGAAAGCTGAGGAGCTGTTCGTCCGCCTAGGTGAATACGACTTCACGCGCAATAACGATTCACGGTCCTACGATTTTCGCGTCGTGGAGAAACGCCAGCATCTCGATTTCCAAATGCCTAATTACCACAACGATATAGCGATACTTAAGCTGAACAGGCCCGCTGTGTTCAACAGCTACGTCTGGCCCATTTGTCTGCCGCCGGCGGGAATGAACCTCACCAATCAGAGAGTTTATGTTATTGGTAAGTTTCACATTGCGTCTGGCGTAACAACAAGTAATTTAATTTTAATATGTCTTAACATACTCAATAACACTAATTTTAAACTAAAGATGGATCTATTGTGTTTGTCTTCATACAGAACATTATTTGACACAATAATACGTATTTTTATTTGCTTATTAGTCCATCATACTAAGCAGTTGAAGACATTTAACAAAATCTTATCATATATAGGAAGGATCCCTTGGATTTCGTTTGATCTAAAAAAATTCTTACATTCGTAAATAAATAAGAAGAATATAAGTTAGCGGACGATATACAAAAATGTCTTTCTTTATATACAAAAATAAAATCATTTTGGTATGTACGATCTTACTCTTAAGTGCTTCTGTGTAATGCAATGGAGTATTTGCAGTTCATTCAATGAGTGCTAATCTAATATGATCAAACACCCACAATTTATTCATTTCCAGGATGGGGTACAAAGCACTTCGGCGGTGCCCACAGCAACATATTAATGGAGGTATCGGTACCCATATGGGATCATCAGCACTGTGTCGAAGCATTCGTTGACTCCATTTTCGAAGAGAGTATTTGTGCTGGATATCCTCAAGGTGGCAGAGATTCCTGTCAGGTATATCATTTTAAATCTATATTTACGTGTTCTCTCCATTTTTCAAGTGTTCTAGTTTACCATCATACTCATTATATGACAAGTGTGATGTAATTGAATGATGCTCTTATGAATCTATGACAAAAAATAATATATTGTGAACTAAATTGTATGGAATATTGTTAGGGAGGGTCAAATTTAAAAGAAATAAAGCTAATCTAACCGCATTTACATTTTGTTGAAACTGAAATTTAATATGTATATTAACCATTATTTTGGTGTTCGACATAATGTTACCCAAATTTTAATAGCAAGTCTATACTAATATTGTAAAGCTATAAAGTTTCAAACATTGTTTGTAGAAGGTAATCTTCAGAAATACTTACCCGATCATCAAAATTCTTTTTGGTTTACATACTAGAAACTAAATCATAAGCTATAATTTACACGGCTGAAGCCCCGGAAAAACAGTTAGTGTTAAATATGTAGACCTGCTTCTGAGTAATTGAAAAAGTTTTGTGTTTACAGGGTGATAGTGGAGGTCCGTTGATGTACCAGATGCCGAGTGGTCGTTGGGTGGTGGTAGGTATAGTGTCGTGGGGTAAAGGATGCGGGGAACCAGGCCGTCCAGGCATATATACACGCGTCGACAAATACCTCGGCTGGATAGTAGATAACATACAATTCTGATACAATAGGAAATATTACGCAAAATTCGGTATGGTAGCAGAATAGAACATGTTATACAATTTTTATTTTGGGATAATTTGTCTTTTGGAAAGTAATAATTCTCATTCTTCTCACATCCGAATATATAGTAATGATGGATTCAATTACTCTTTCTTATTATATATTTAAAATTACTTTATTACTACTCTGTGAATGACATTTGATGTTTATAAAAAATGTGTTAGCGCTGCAAGCTAGCCACAAATAGTTGCAGTAATATATCCATTTGCAGATATGTTGAGATTATCAATAAAATAATAATATTTCATAATTGTTTTATTACAGAAAATGATTTATTAAAAAATTTCGACAGATTAAAAAATAAACATTGGTTTCATACCAACAAATAATAGATTTATCGCAATAAAAATTTGCTAAATGGCAATCTGATACAACTCCCGCATTTCGATGAAAATTACAACATTTGCAGGGTCACTTTCTCCCCACACTCTTCGATGGCTAGCAGCATATCCAGGACTTGGGACTCTTGAATCACCGGATGGAAAGTGAACGCCAGTCTGAAGAAATTCTTGTAATGTCTCACAGGCGTGTATGCCACCATCAGCTGTGAGGATAGGGTCAATAGTTCTTTGATTTTTGGTGTTATCTGTAAAAAAGCAGATGAATGTATGATGTAACAGCTCAACAAAGTTCAAACATTTAGTTTATCTATACTTAGAACTTGTTTTGATTCAATGACTGGTGGACTAACTGCCAGATTGATCATAAGTACACGTTATCTGTTGAATATCATGGGTCCAAGCATAATCTTTGATCAGTAATTTTATGAAGTAGACACTATGCTATATCACTAGCCTATTAATGTCCCCACTGGGGGCACAGGCCCTCCTTATTGATGGAACCGAATCGAATAAGGAGAATGAACCATGACCAATCTCACGGGCCCAATGTGGATTGGTGGATGTTAACGACCTAAGATGCAACGGCTCATGCCTTAGGAAAAGGCTATCTCTTACGTTTTATCTTCGACCAGAATAGTTTTAAAAATACACAAAAACGTTTCTACAATACACAGTAATGAATTATCATTATCATCTTCACTAGCCTATTAATATCCCCATTTCTGGGGCCTTCCCTATGGATGGAATAGTACCTAATCGAATAAAGAGAATGAGCCATGAGCGGATTGGTTAACACCACCAACAACTCCAAATGCAGCCGGGACCAACGACTTAACGTGCCTTCCGAAGCAGAGAGGGGGATTTTGGTCACCTATCCTTTAACCGGTCACTGCGACTATTGCTTAACTACCGTATCGTAATCTGAACGCACTAACCGCTGTGCCATCGAAATCTGATTCGATGTAGGTGAATAAAATATAATTTTTAATCTAATAACAAATTTTCCTGTATATCGAAAGTATCATCATAACAAAACATATATTTTTTCAGACTGATACTGCAATAGTATACCTTATGCATTAACTCCCACCATTGTTCATCCTCTTGTCTCTCCCTCATAAAGGTAGGTATATACCAGAAGCAGACGTTAGGGCATTGCATAACTCCAGTCACGAGCCTAAAACCAGGTTTCTCTGAGATTGCATTCTGGCAGAAACTGGCAATATTCATTGTATGATCGGTGAGCTTGCTTAGCCCGGCGTCTCCACGAGCCTTCCACATCATCCATAGTTTAAAAGCATCTATCTGGAAATATGATGATGACTTTATAATCTGTGGAATTGACTAAAAAAATATGATATTTTATATATCCACGATGCCCATGAAGCATTTAAATATGCCAGTTACTTGTAGTTTTTAGAGTATCTAGTTCGAGAAGTGAAAATATACTTGAAACAATAAATCATTAGGTAAGCGACATATTTAGTACCTGCAGATCTATCACGAAACGTTAGACATAATTGCTCACTTCTAAATCCTGCCTTTCTTTATCTCTCTCTTTTTTTTCAAAATTACTTTCATCGACCCGAGTATTAAAATGGAAACATCTTTGTTCTACTACATTACAGAGCTGTTTAAAATTTTTACGTTTTTATTTTTTTACTCTACCGTTGACCATTTCTGCACATCTACTACCAAAACAATATAATACAACAAAACTCATAACAAAGAAAAAAAATAATCTACGATCTCCACCTTTCTACCGCACTGTACACTCTTGTCTCCTGTGTCGTAACGGACATCGTAAAACTTATCCTGTTGGAATAAATACTGCGCAGACGCAGAGTTACACTCGTGCAATAAGCCGCGCATGCGCACCATGAACACGGAGCACTGGAGGGGGGCACCGGTCATCTTATGTGGGTTCCATGATATTGAGTCCGCTCTGGAAAAAAAAATACCTTAATACATTATAACACTCGAGAACAGTGATTAATGAATTTGATTGGAGCCAATCCATTATTTATAAACTTCTTCGGAAATGAATAAATAAAATCTATTTATTTGGGTCAAAATAAATAAAAGACAAAATACAGAAGGAACACAATTACATAGGCAACTAAATCTGTCCCAAAACTGTTCCAGCTCAGCATATGCTGATCTTGTGATCAGCGCTGATCTTCCGCTGGAACCGATCCGGTGAAAAAAAAAACACGAACAGCATCACAGCATAATAATAATACTGATTAGAAACTCTAAAATGTTTAATGTGTTTTCTCGCTACTGTTCTGTACTGTATAAACCATTACCCACACAGGATGTTATATTTACGTGCTATATTATGTACGTGAATTGGTTTAACTACGAACCAATTTTGCGGATAGTTTCTAAAGACTTTTTGGAACTTGTTTCATAACTGACATTTATTCGCTCACTATTTAATCTTTCTATTTACCCACCTTTCGATGCCTTTTAACTTTGATCTTTGATTTGAAGATAGCATCAAGCTTCCTCCCCAACATGCCTGAAATTTGAGTATTTTATCAAATGGAGATTACGGAAAACTAAAAAATTAGTCTCCTATTTTCTAATTCAAGGACAAAAGAAATCATAGCATATGAGTGCACTCGCCAGTATCTTTACAAGGTTGTCTTTTAATTATTACAAATCTACGAATATAAGGGGTGCGACCGATTGTCTGATGATGATGATTCTAGTCATAGGATATGACATCTTGGCGATGTTGTGTCGATATTTCGTTTCATTTGACTGGTTTAATATGTACTTTATTAACAACGAACGAATAATAAAGAATGATTATTATAGATTTGACAGTGGCGTTACTAAATTGGTAATTTATCCCAAAGAAGAATGGCGAAATCGGACCCCATAATTTACAAAACCGTACATGGATGGCAATATGACAAATAAATAATATATGATTAATAGATTTTATTTCTACAAAATGGTGAATTTTAATGTCGGGGAACCAAACTAAAATGTTAAATGCCGCTAATAATTATCAAGATAACAAAACGTCTGATGATAGTGCAAAAACAAAACGCGAAAATCTTTTTAAGAAACGTTCTGGTCTACGCAGAAGTACTTTAATAATAAAACTATATCTTGGAAGTGTTTCATGACTTTTGCCCTTGAAAAGGGTCATCTATTTTAATGGATATTATCGTTTGCTGTACATTGCAATTAATTCTATTACCTTTAAAGTACCATCAATACGCTTAATAATCGAATATAAAGTCAAAATAAGATTGTATAGAATTGATTCCGTTCTCTTTAATTGAAAACCACACAATATATCAAAGGGTTGTACTTTGGATGGTTTTTGAAAAATCGATCATATACATCAACGATGTCAGAAGCGATTCTCAATTAATCGCGAGTTTTTCAAACATGTTCTATAGAATATTATCTGTCGCCATTTACTGCTAATAATAAGTGAGATATGTGATGTAATGACGTGTACCGACTGAGCGAATGAACGTCAAATATATATTCAATATAAAATCTATATATAATATATTATATGAAATACGGTCTTTGAATACTTTCATAAATATTTATTTTATTCGTTCAAATTACGTATTGAATTTGAACGAATAACATAAAAAAATTGAAAGCTAAGATACCACAACCGATTTAAGAAGATTATTGCCAGTTCTGTAGTTGAACCGATGAAAGGTTAACGTATCGATTATTTTGTTCTAAATAATCGATTGGTTGATTTTATTTTGACATGTTTGTTTTCATCTATGAATGTTCTAAGATGATGATGGTGAATTGATAGCGGATGATTGGTTTGGTTTGTTTTTTGTGTGTTCGTTCGTGGAGTTTGATATTTATGTTAATATTCAACTTGACAATTAAGCATGTTTCTTCGACTAACGTTGATATTTGCATTACTTTTGGATTCCGAATGGCAATTGATTCGGTTATAACAATGACAGTTCAATGTGTACATTGCCCTGGTTTGTCACTTTCAGTTGTAATGATTTAATTAAAGGCAAAGGGATCTAATCCACACAGTTTAGTCATATGTTATAAACGTTTCTTCTATTATAAGTGTCTGGATATTGTTAGATATGTAATTATTTTAATCTAGTTTATTAAACGGAGTTACCTGGTTACCATTTTTATTCATTTTAACGTCCATTCAACGAAAAAGCAAAGATGCAATATATAACCTCACAAAGTATTTTATGCCATATCTCTTTAATCCCAACTTTTAAAGGAAAAAGCCGATTAGGATTTTGTTAGTTTAGCTTATACCTTCAAGTACATGTTTATTTCATTGATGAACGCGACTATAAAAATTCAGGTCCAAAGCTATATGGGAGTTCGCCATTGTTCTTTATCCACCAAAAGACAAGACAAAGAAAATGTCAAAATCAAACATGGTCAGAAAGTTAGGCACCCCAGAAAGCTATGCCAGCTTTAAGTGATCTTCGACTTTCTGATTAAGAATAAATTCGCATATATAATGATTCATCAAGTCGACAATACTTACATCAACGTGCATCCACACACCAAACTTCTGGCAAATTTCAGCAATAGCTTCCAAGTCATCTATAGCTCCGAATACAGTGGTTCCAGCAGTAGCGTTAACCATCAGGGGTATTCTGCCAAGATCTCGCTCCCTTTGTATAGCAGAACACAGTTCTTTTACGGACATTTGTCCTTGATTATTTGTTTTGATAATTCTTACACTTTCGGTCCCAAATCCTAGCCAGTGTGCAGCTTTTTTTATTGAGTAGTGGCTCTGAAATTTATTTACCCAGAGAAGAAATTGGTTAACATTAATTAGCTCGCCGTTCTAAATTTCTTAGACACATTTTAACCCACTGCATTGAAGTTCTTAATTATTGGTTCTTAATCGGTCATAGGTATTCAGTTAACATCACTCTTTATTGAAAGAAGAATAAATATATATGACACAATTATCTAAAATTAAAAGATTAATTAAAAATAAATGCCGGTATAACCTTTAAATACCTTTTCAACGTCAATATTTTGAGTCCGTAATTACTCGTTACTCTCGTACTCCAAAACCATAAATATATTTTTTGTATAGTAAAAGGTCACGAACTAGATAAATGGTCTCACTCACATCTTCAGAAGTGAAAAGCAGCATCTCTGGTAAATTCCTCATACCCTGACTCTTGACGCCCGGATATGCCTTAAACCTGGCTGCGACGACCGCATAAAGCAGCGATATACTACCACCAGGAGTGAAGATTCCATCCCCTTCTAGAATCCCGAATAGCTTCAAAATATGCTGCAGCATTTTTAATTCGATCAAAGTGAAAGCTGGAGCAACCTCGAAAGTGTACCTGAAATACGTTAATCATATGTTGTTTGTAATTACGAGATTGCTGTATACCTTTTTCTAGATATTTTACTAATTTTGTTATATCCGGCCCGCAACGATTCACTTTATGTTGTTTTAAACCTTCATAGAAATTCATCATCACCAGTCTATTAATGTTCCCAATGCTGGAGTTCAGGTATTCCCTATAGATGGAATCGACTCAAATCGAAAAGGGAGAATCATGGTTATTAACATTAGAATAGTTATTATGTAAATAGTTATTATTTACAGGATTACTACCAACTACTTTATATATGAGCTTCTTAGTATCCTGTAGATAACTATTATTCTTAGAATAACAATAGCAAAAATTACTTATTAACATTTTTAAACAAAATGTTACAACTCTCAAGGTACTCTTTTTGGTACAAATTCAAATTATTTTGAATAGAGATGTATTTTTTTATTGAAGTTTTGGGTCTATGCAGTTCCATATAAATCAGATCTCACTGCAATCTAAAAAAAGTATCGTGACTAGCCTCCAAAATTCAGCAGCATTTAGTTTAAGATTTTATTTCTTCTGATTTTTTTCACGCTCTTATTTACAATATCTGCAAAAAAATCTCACTGGATTTCATTTGAAATTTCTATTTAATTTGCTGTTCCCATCTAAAGCTCTAACACCGCATGAATATTCGTTTTGTTGAGTTTTAATAGCATAGACCCCGCTATTTATTGCACGATCAAAATTAGAATTTCTCATTCAATTCAAGTTTAAAAAAGCCTATCAGATCAACATTTAATTGAGCAGTTAATAAATGTTATTATCTTCAAAGACCTGTGAAAGATTAAGATGACAATGATATGATGATGATTCTAATATTCTTTAAAAAAGATGAACTTATCAGTATAGTAATGCAAATATGTGAGTCTTATTGATACATACTGACTAGTATTGAAAGCCTCAGCGATCCAAGCACCTGACAGCCCATAGGGATCGGTGCCACCGTACAACTGATTCCTAAAGATTGCTTTGCTGGTGTTCACACTGTATTGCAGCACTTGCCGTACGCATCTCTCCAACTCAGCATCTGACACGGCTTTTGTCACATCCAAATCAAGGATCGCCTAAAAATAATATGCTCAAATATACATAATAATAATTTTAAAAAACATAATATCAGGGACAATTGGATCTATTTTAAGACAATACGTAACCGTTGTAACCGGATAATGAGAGCTGCTAAACGCCGCTATTTTCATGATAGTATCCTTGAAGCATCTCAAGCCAATATTTCGAAGTGATCGAAGGAGGTCCCTTGGTCTCGTTAAGTCTACGAATGACATCCTTCCACACTCCTTTTCTCTTAACGAAATTTTTTTCTACCCACACTTCTCAATCAACTCTTCGTCCTTTCTGTAAGGATGAAGAGTTGATTGAGCATCTCTGCTCATTGAGCTCTGTGCAATAGGCCTACTAACGTCTACTCTTTTTCTCTGGTGACGGAAACAGAGATTCGCAAGTCTATGAAGGCGATCGATTGTAATAGTGTGAGTAGGCAGATGATTGTTTCGATTCTGGACAGTGCTCTAGCAATTATCTCTCACATACTAAATCACTCCCTATCTACTGGAACATTCCGAATAATTTGGCGCAAAGCGCATGTTATGCTACTCCCTAAAGTTTATGACCCGGCAACATTAAACCAATTAAGACCAATTTCTATTCTGCCGTTTATATTGAAAGTTTTGGAAGCCATTGTCAACTGTCTGCTTATGTGGCCAGGAATCATATTTTGAACCTGTTTCGGTCTGGATTTCGTCGAGCTTACCGATTTATTAAAATAAACTGAGGATTCCCGTGATGGCATGGGGATGTCACTTCTAACAGTATTCGTTTAATCGATTTCTCTAACGCTTTCAATGCTATTGACCTTGACATTCTCATTCAAAATTCATAATAATATGAATTTTGACTAATACTAAATGCCATGTTAGCGGAAATGCTCTACTAAAAATTAAGGAGTTTGTAGTAGAACATTTAACTCTTAACTCCTAGGTCAACGTGGCCTTTGCCTGCCTATAGATATCTAATCAACGTTAACTGGTTTTCCTTTTAGGCACTCGTAAGTCCAAATAAAGCTAAAATAAATAAATAAGAAACTAAGTTAAGGCTGAATTGCACCATAATAGTTAAGTAGTAGTTCATGACAAATTTGACGAGAACATTGCAGAATTCGTAGCACTATCCTTTTTCTTGGTATATTAAAACAATAACTTTAGCCAACGGAATTTGCCCGGTTCTAATTGACAGTTAAAGTAATGACGTCTTCTAACCTTGCCTAATGGTGCAACTCATTATTTGTTTTACCGGTACAACATGTTTGTCATTGATAAAGTGAATTGGGGCAACCATCCCTTTATATATACAGGAATATTTTTTATCCAGTGCAAAAATTTTTTTTGGTGGTTCAGTATCAGTAATAGAACACTTTTCCATAATTAGTTAAAAATATTTTTATCCCTATCGAAACGGTAGAATATGGACACATTTTTTAAAATAAAACTTCAATGAAAACGTCTTCTCTTGCGTATGCCACCGTGCAACCCCGCCGCGCCCGGTAGCCCCCCGCCACAGCCCCCACCGCCCCGCCGGGACCGAGCGACGCGCGCGACAGTGAGACTCATACGCACGCGCCGATGTGACGTGTCCTCGCGTTCCCGCGCACGCGACGCGCCCGCCGTCGTGAGTTTTACGAGATGTACGAGTTTATCTTTTGAGTGGTGAGAACCTACATAAGCGCAATTCGGAGAAAGTATGCGACGAAGAGCATACCTCGTATGCGGTCCTTTGGGATCCATAACCCCGCGGTCCCTAATGCTTCGAACCATTTTAACAGACGAAGTCCCAGAGTCAGTACCCACGATGCGGCATATCTCTTTGGTGTGAGCCAGCCTGCGGTATTGAAGCTGCTAAAAACAGCCGGACTCCATCCGTACCACTTTACCACAATACCACGTCGAGCCTTATGTGAGTGGCTTCTACATCACCGCGATGTAAACATCTTGTAGACGGATGAGGCATTGTTCACAAGTGAGGGACTGTTTCTTATGGGAAGAAGTCAAACGCCGAGATGTAGAGGAGGCAAAAGTCTAGAAGACAACAATAAAAAATAATAACGCTTTCAGTGAAGTGAAAAGTGACACTAGTGTTTTAAACAAATTAAATGACAATTTAATGAAATGTGCACGTTTATGTCTGGACAGACGTGGACTTCATTTTGAACAAATATTAAAATACATGGTAAGTAATTAGTTAGGTATTTGTTTTGATTCAACATTATTGTAAATACGTAGTTGATTCTAATTTTTTTAAATACGCCTTAACGCAGAAGTACCTATGTAACTTCGGCATAACGTTAATATTTTTTTCTAGGTAATGAATTTGTTTCTCTTTTATTTTTTTGCATTTTGATGGCCTTAACCATAAAAGTATGAAGGGAAAATTGGAATTACTCTTAGAAAACACCTCAGATCATGGCATAAAATCTAGTTCGAATCTAACAAAATGAGCGTTCAGTGACCCGTGTAGATAGGTACCTACGAGTACATGCCTACGGCGGCGTCGAGCGAGCGCTCAGCTGACGCACGGCGCGCGGTGTCCATAAATGAAGTTTTAAAATCTCGATCTTTGATAAGCGATAACTTTATTTTTTAGTATTAGAACATATCAAAATAAAAAATACGTGTTTATTTAAATTACTTAAAGTTTATTTTCACAAAATCTTCGCAGTGGTTTTAAATTATTCCTGTATATAAGTATAAGTCTCAGGATAAGAATTGGGTCAAACACGATACCTATAGTTAAAATCGACTGCAAAAAAGAAGGTTATATTAATATACATATTTAATCAATTTTGCATACACAATGCTATACTGAAAAATATACTTATTGAAAACTTTAAAAAAAATCCAAGGACAAACTTGATTTTTAAGCATTTTTCATTAAGAAGGTTATTTTTTCGACGCCTATACTTATTATGCAGGTAAATAGATTTCTCCGTAGATAATCTATAGTCCATAGTATTTGCGCTTAAGTTTGTCCCATAAATATCATAATCGCAAACTAAGTGAAAAAAAATCTGCTAAATGAAGTAATATTGCTTTCCTACAATTTTTCTTATATGAACATCAAATATTTATATCAGGTATCACTAAAAACAAATGACTGACCATTTTGAAGTAACTTTGTAACTGAGAGGTGGGTTTGATCAATTAATTATAAAAAGATTTTTACAATAATTTTAATGAAATTAAATAAAATTAATTTTGTTGTTTTTCAAGCAGTACTCCATTATGTGTCCTTATCTACATATTTCATTGATGGAAATTTTCATATCGTCTCGCATCTCCCTGCCTTCATTAGTAGATATAAGATCGATAATGCAATGCCGTTATGCCAATATTATATCAAATAAACCAAAAGCCATAAACATTACTTTGATGTATAATTGCATCGCAGTACTGTTTAAGAGAGTTTTAGAACCCAAAACCGAATTGTGTTTAAATTCGAACTATATAAGGTATCTTTATTAGACAGGCCCAGGCTTTTTTGAAAGCTCAAGTGTAAAAATAAAAGTAGAATCCGATTCTTTCATGAAAGCTTCAAATTCACCAGCCCTAAGTACCCCGAGATGATACTCCAAACCACAACCTTTCACGATCCGGGCGACTGCTCAAAGACGGAAGAATTTTTCAAACACTTGTTACTATTCGCTACTAGTGAGAGTATTTTCATTAATGTTCAGACAAACCATCCAAATAACCGAAAGGCATATTCTTACAAAACTTTTGATTTTGCATTCACAATGCTATATTGATACTTATTACAGTTAATCGATTTTCCCGTAAATATCAAAATCCAATCGATTTAGTTTTTATGAAAAACTACAAAATTTAGTCGATTTAGTTTTTATGAAAAACTACAAAATAATTATTTAAAATTTTCCTATAATTTTTGTTATATCAACATCAAATATTTATATCAGGTTTCACTAAATCAAAATTTTCACCGTATTGATATAGGTTTAATTTGTCCAAGTTCTTATCGTAATTATAGACTTCGTTTTGATTAGCATGTGACACTTTGATAGATGCTCCCACAGAAAGACAGGTTCTGATTTAATCGACTTGGTTTACGTTGATTTCATAACTTTTTACAGCAATAGAGAGGCGTTGTGAGACTTGTACATTTTTGTGCATGTTATGTTTTCTCAAGGATCACTCTCTGTCTCTGTACACTTTTTAAAAAGACGTTGACATGTTGGTTTTCGATAAATTTACTCGGTGAATCTACATATATATACAGTAAGTTTATTATATTCAGAATACATACAACTAAAGTTGACATTGATTATAGTTATAAACAGTTTGGGTATGTCACTCTTGAAAGTGCCACATACGCTTGACTAATAAATATAGCTTGACCCCATGGAAATACTGAAGAACTTAACTTTTATGATTATATCGATCGTTATACCTATAGATATAAGGTCTAACGAAGCCCATTTGATGGCGATTGTTTGCTAGCCGTCGTTGGTCCACTCTATACGCCACATAGATTTATAAAGTATAGGTACCGAAATTTTTCATAAGATATCATTTTCCTTATATATTATATTATTTATTCTTTGGTAAATAGTTTTTTGTGTTAGTGTCCTTAATCCAAGTTTATATAGCATATACTTTACTCTTCTTTGTATTGCTAAATAATCAAAGAGTAATGTAAACAACACATTGACAGATGTCCAAAATGTTATACAGTATTAAAAAATCTTGTACGGAATCCTAAAAATGGCGCCCTCCTCTTAAAATCAATAATTTTCGTCCAGCTTCCGAAACAGCTAAATAACTAGCTAAGTGATTGATCGCTTTAGTACATTCTATGTCCGAGTTATTAACACATCGCCCAGCACATGCTAGAGTACGACACGAAAAGAAACATTCATACCTTAAATCGACGCATTAAAGATCGAATTTGTTTATCGTCCCTAATACATGAGTAAATATTGTATTTAAAATAACCGGCATTGATTGTTGATTCATTAACAGTCCATTTTTATGACATTATTGGCTAAGAAAATTTTCCACTGAGTATTTTGAAAACAAGATTTTTAAAAATTGACATTTCTTATAATACTGTTTCATATACTCGTAATATGTGAATGTCCCAGTTCAAAAGTTAAAATTCTCACAAAAATGTATCTTTATTTCTTAGTGAAGATATTTGACATTGTAGACAAACTTCTGATATTTTGTTATAATGTTTATAACAAACTATCAGAAGTTACGTAAACGAATTTAATTTGAATAATTTTCCGCCAAATTCAATAAAAAAAAATACAACACTCTGGGACAACTTACTTCAAATAATAATCTAAACAAAAAATTCTTAGATATAGAGCTATTCATATCCATTTTTACAATTTAACTATATTAGATATATTTAAAATCATCAAAGTTAAAATCTGAAGGTTAGTAATTTAACTGTAAATCATATAAAATTAAAGAAAGCCATTCAAAACCTACCTCTAGCTCTTCAGGGTGTTTGAACTGAATCAATGGTGTCACCTCCGATTGTTGCTCCTCAACTATTTTCAACACTTTACTCAAAAACGTGTGCCCGTTACCGTTCATACTGTTATTTTATATTTTAATATGTTTAACATTAGAACAGTGTGAATGTTACAAAAGATTCGAAAGCACTGTACGTGTAGTCGAGACCATGTGGTCATATGTATACAGCTATTATGAATTCAAAGTAATAAATACTTTGAATAGGGTGACCAACTCGGCACGGATTTTGCAGTACACGTGATTTAAAATAATTTAAAGCGATGAATTAAATCGGGAATCTGATTTGTTTTATTTTAGTAAATTTATTAACTGAATTCGATACCATTTTAACAGTAGGTAATTCTTTTATTTTTTTCTATAAAGTTTACATATCTATTATTAACTTAAAAAATGTATGCTGCTATGTCTATCTACTACATCTATATGTCGGTATTAACCTAAAATAAACTTTAAAAACAAATGTAAAATCATATGTATTTTACGGATATATAAATAAATAGGAGCAACTTTCGACGCATTCGACGTATGGACCATCGCGCACTAACGTAAACTTTCTTAAGACGCTTGACGGATCTTCCGTCAGATTCACATCAACCCTAAACGTGTAGGATGAGTAGAGATATTAAACTTTTAGTTTGTTTACATGTATAACCAAAATAATATTTCAAAACAGTCCTGCTAAATACGCGACAGTTGGACGACCTAGTCGTGCACTCTGAGTGCGTCGGACTTTGTATGGTCGTCCGGCTAGTTGTTTGAGCTTAAAAAGCTGTTATAAAGTTTTGTCTTCTTAAAATACTCTTTGGTCATGTTTTATTTAAAAATAGGCACCCATTCTTCTGAACCTCCTTAATTTTCCGTCTAATTTTCTTGAATAAAATAATCTTTCCAACCATTTTCAAGTGACTCCACAAATTTATAATGCACGGAAATCTATTGTTAGTGAAGGCTACCAGGCGACTTGTACACCTTCTTGTACGACCTTTTTTACTGTGTCACTTCACATCTATATCAAGAACATTTTATGTATATCTTCACCTTCACATCCCGTTATCTGTACACTGAGACCTATTAAATTACGTTACGCATTTGTTTTCCATTAATATTGTGTGAGAATAATCAGGAGCGATTCAAGAGGAAGGTCTTTATATACAGAACCACATGTGCGAAGAAATCTAGTAATAATATAGAGAAGTGAAGTTCTAACTTTATTCGCAAGGGGGTAATCTTGAAATTGAAAATACTAATAATAAAAATTCTTCCACTTACGGAAGCTACATCATATGCGATTAACATAAGCTATAATATACACGGGCGAAAGCGCTTATATAAAACGTAAAACAGCTAGATTATGTGCACCTGGTTTTGTATGGGCACTCTGTTATGGGAACCTTTTTTACAATAAATATATTAGACCTGTGTGGTGACTCCGGGATCCCGTTTTTTTTTTAATTTCACCTTGTTTTTACTCACATGAGTTGTAAACAGTAATTAACTAAGTGGAACAAGGGAACACAATGCCTATCCATTAAATAATTAGAACTAATTTACTTCAATCTAAAAGAGGTATGTGCGTCCATGCTGAAACTTAAAATTATTTTTAAACTAGCTATCCGCCAGCGGCTTCGTCCGTGTGGTCCTGTAGGTACTATATATATATAAAACGTTATTTTGAATCACTCTGTATATTTATGTAAATCACAATAAAATCCGGTGTGTAGTTTAAAAAATCCCAGCGTATAGACAGCAAAAAGCTACTTCATTTTATATATAAAGAGGGAATATTTAATTGTTTGTTTGTTTGCATCGAATACCGAGCACCATCATGTTTCTCCTAAATGCAATATAATTTGTAGACCTATTACCAAAAGTAATTTAGAAAAATTAAAAAACAGTGTTTCTGCAAATCAGACTCAGTTGACAACTAGTAATTTGGAAAATATAAATGATGTTTATAATAATTTCTTTAACTTGATAAAGGGAGAATTTGATAAAACATTTAAACTCAAAACAATTAACTTTACTAACCAAAAAAAGAAATTTAGTGATTGGGCTACACCTGGCATCTACAAAAGTCGAAATAGGCTGTATGATTTGTATGAGCTAAAGTGTACCTCGACCGATCCAAAGTTTATTGAATATGTCAGAAATTATTCGAAAATTTTTAGGAAAGTATGTGTTTCAGCAAAAGCAAAATATATATCTGAAAAAATTTACAATTCAGAAAATAAAATAAAATCAACCTGGACTATCATAAATCAAGAAACGGGTAAAAATAAAAGTAATATACGCACATACTCATTAGAGGTTGACAATAAAATTATTAAAACAGATGAAGCGGTTGCTGAGACATTTGAGAAATTCTTTTCTAAGACACCAATAGAAATCACAAGAAATCTTAGTTCATGTTCTAAACTTGCGGTTACGCATCTAGAGTCAGTTGTTGATAAGTGCAATACTGAATTTTATTTTAGACACGTTAACGTCTGCTCAATTATTAAAACATTTAATTGTATTAATGTCAAAAAAACCGAAGATCTTTGGGGCGTTTCAACTTATGTTATCAAATCTATAATCCCAGCTATAGCACCTCAATTAACTTTTATTTTTAATAAGTGCATTGATGAAGGAACTTTTCCTGATTTAATGAAATATGGTAAAATAATCCCACTTTTCAAGGCAGGCGACAAGTCTGATCCCAGTAATTTCAGACCAATTTCTATTCTACCAGCGTTAAGTAAAGTATTTGAGAAAATGATTTACAATCAACTGCTTGCACACTTTTCATTAAATAAATTACTTCACCAAAATCAGTTTGGCTTTAGCAGAGGTAAATGTACAACAGACGCTGGAATTGCACTTCTGAGGCATATCATAGATATGCCTCAGAAGTTGCCTATGCTTGGGAGAATAAACAAGATGCTATTGGCATTTTTTGTGATCTATCAAAAGCATTCGACTGCGTTTGTCATGAAACACTGTTGGGGAAATTAGATCATTATGGTGTGACGAAAAATTCACTTCATCTAATAAGATCATATCTTTCTGCTAGAATTCAAAAGGTAGTAATCAATGAAGCGAAATCTGCAGGGGCACCAGTTACTATGGGCGTACCTCAGGGATCGTTATTAGGACCATTGCTTTTTCTAATTTATATAAATGATCTTCCTCACTTTACGAAGAATTTGTGCGAGACAGTATTATTTGCAGATGACACCTCTTTACTGTTTAAAGTTGAGAGGGGTAATGATTGTTTTGACGATGTAAATAATGCTCTCGACAATGTTCTACAGTGGTTTGATAATAATAATTTAAAGCTCAATTCAAATAAAACGAAATGCATAAAGTTTGCATTACCTAATGTGAGGCATGTCAGTACACTTATAAATGTAAATAGTGAAAAAGTGGAGTTAGTAGAATCGACAAAGTTCCTTGGTATTACACTAGATTCCCGACTGCAATGGGATCCTCATATTGATAGCTTGTCAAGTAGACTGAGTTCTGCAGCTTTTGCTGTTAAGAAAATTAGACTCTTGACAAATGTTGAAACGGCAAGATTGGTATATTTTAGTTATTTTCATAGTGTAATGACGTATGGTATATTGTTATGGGGTTCTGCGGCTAGCATTCAGGATGTTTTTATTTTACAAAAGAGAGCTGTCCGTGCTATATATAATTTACGGTCTAGGGAATCTCTCAGAGAACTATTTAAAGAAATAAATATTCTGACTGTTGCCTCTCAATACATCTATGAGAATATTATGTACACAAGAAAACATTACGATTCCTTCACAAAAAAAAGTAGTGTTCATAATCTTAACACAAGAAATAAAGATAAACTTGCCGTTCCAAGCTTCAGACTTCAAAAAACCAGAGGATCATTTCTGGGTAAATGTATTGCTATGTTCAATAAAGTTCCACAAAATGTAATTGACCTACCCATAAATAAATTTCAAATTCATGTAAAGAATATACTTATGAGTAAAGGCTATTATAAAGTTGATGATTACTTTAAGGATCGCAATGCATGGAATTAATAGCCTTCGCTTTGTTCTATAAAGACTAATTATATGTTCAACTTATGTCCTACAGACTTTGAAAATTGTATTTACTATTGTGATAAATTGATAATACATATTATTTTGGTAATGACATGATTTATGTAAATGTCATTACTTATGATAAAAAGCTGATAAGTTTCTTTCGCTTGTTCTTCTTGTCAGCTAAAAGACGTCCTGAACAAGTGGTAGGGGAAAAAAGTCTTTTTTGGACGATTCAAAAGTGCTTGTAACAGCCTACTTGAATAAAGATATTTTCATTTCATTTCATTTTATTTCATTTCAATAGGCTCCGCAACTACTCGGCCTATTTTAAAAATTCTTTCACCTTCCGAAATTATATATAATTTAGGGGGGCGAAGTCCCGGGAAAACAGCTAGTTTACTATAAAACATCACACATATTACTAATGAAAATCTGATACAACGAAAACATCGAAAACGAGATAAATTCATGAGTTCCAAAAAGGTTCCAAACCAAAATATTTACGGAACCCGATAATATAAAAGAAGTAGACCAAAATGATAAAATTGAAATGTATAAACATGTTGTCAACATTTCCATTACTCATATAAACATAAATTACTAAGAAAGGTGCCAATGGCAATAATTAACGATGTCATTATAATTGCACAATTATTAATGTGTTTATTTATCTAATTAGATACTACATAAGGTAGTCATTAACTTACATTATCAAGGAAACTCATTGTATCATCTCAATTAACACTACTTGATATGACTACTTATATTTATTTAAAAACAATAATAATAAACTATCTTTCTATTAAAATTTCTATTGCATCTACACACAATGTATCTTAAATGAAAAAAGGTCATAAATTTTAAGTATAAAAATCCATAGACTTCTTATAGGTTTACTGTTAATAATCTATAAATCTTCTTTAGATAATGAATAAATAATGTTTCTTAAATAACAATTAAAATATTATTTAAAAAATAGCCGATAAATATGTTATAGCATCACAATAAGCTCTTTCATTTGAAAGATCACATAAAAAAGTTTGTGAACTATTATTATGATTTGTATTTTACTATCTAAAAGAGACCACCGTCTATGAAATTCATTTATACATTATACGAACATGTTTCTAATATGTATCGCCAGAAAACCGAGTGATCCTATAAGAGTTCTGTTTTTAGTGCGGAACCATATATTATTGCATGGCATGTATGTACAAAGAGAGACTGATTTGTCTTATTCAATATTGTTGCATATTTTTTTATCTTGTTCCAACCTTTTCAGTTAGTTGATTATAATTATAATTTTTAATATTATTATTCTTACTATATTAAACATTGTATATTAACATTGTAATTTGTAGAACTAGGAACAATTGGCGTATCAAAGAGAATTTAAAGAACTAGCTTTTTAGAATAAGAAAAGAGTATGGCAATTTGTGTCAAAACTTAATTCCTATGATATGTCATAACAATCCCCTAACCTTTTACGATAATTTAAGTAGCCTAAAAATTTTACTATTAAATTACTTATTATTACCAGTATAAAGAAATTTTATATGATTATTATTATTTATAATCACTAAAGTGTGCCCCTCAAATATAATATGATCAAATGAGAAAACGCGACCATGTAGATTTTTAAATGACAAAATAATAGACTAAGTAGCAAGTGATTGTATATCATTCGGTCATACAAAACAAAATTTATGTGATGAAGTATTATAAAATTCCATAAAAATATGAATTTCTTAGGGAGACGGTCCCGCAAAACCTCTGTCAACATAGCTAAAAGTCCACTGAAATGGCAACAGAACAGAAAGTCATCACGAAGGGAATTCTATGAGAAGGAAGATTCAGATGATGACGACCCACATTATAAAGAGATCAAGGACTGGGTCGATGAATTCTTTGAACGAAAAAGTGAAAGCGCCGAAATCGACCCTGAAGATATGGAGGTTATACTAACAAGAAAACAGACCCTTATACTTTCCACTTTGGTTCCAGACGAATTATTATTAATGGAAAAGTAATGAGCGTATCTTCTCAAACTTTATGAAAATAATTTCATATTTATATAAAGATAGAATTGAAATCTGAATAATTATACTAGTTTTAAATTTCAGGTTTGACACTATGGAACCGAAACGGTTTGTCGGTGTACTATTAATGGCTGATGTTTCCGGATATACTGCTTTATCAGAACGATATAATAATGCTGGAAAGGGAGGGACGTACCGTTTAACAGTGACTCTTAATACTTACCTCGGATCGCTAATAGAACTCATTTACAGCCACGGAGGAGACATCCTCAAATTTGCTGGAGACGCTTTTCTAGCTCTTTGGAAAACAGACAAAAGAACATTCTTGTGTCATACCATTCATACAGTCATCACCTGTGCTCTTATAATACAACACTCATATGCCTCATACGAAACGGACGTCAAAGTTAATTTAAAAGTAAAACTTGCCATATCAGCAGGTAATTTAATATTTGCTCCAATCGGTACTGGTATTGATATGAATTATATAATTTTTGGCTTACCCGTTCTTGAAGCAAAGGCAGCTGAAAGTGTATGTGATTCTGGTGAAGTTAAACTTGCTGCAACAGCTTGGGGTCACTGCTACTCGAGAAATTATGATCATATCGTACACGAAGATGGACATGTAACAATTAAAGCTATATTGTATGACCCACGGGAAAAGGACGTTACAAAACCATTTATGGGATTTGGACCATTGATGAACCAACTAAAAAGATTCAACGCTGAAAATTATCCAGATTATATATGGGATTCACCCGACAACTTAAATCCTGCAGACGTTATACACAGAAATGAAATACTAAGTCATAGAAAAGCAATTCTGCACGCTGAAGAAAATAATATTGGTTCTGAAATTAGAAAATTTATAATACGACCAGTACTTACCCAAGTTGATGCGCACCAACCCTTAGAATATCTAACTGAAATGAGACAAGTATCTGTACTGTTTGTAACTCTTAAACCTAGAGATTGTCCGTCGCTACAATTAGTAACAATAATAAACAATTCTTATGAAATAACATGTGAAATAGTGTATAAATCTATGGGATGTGTTAATAAGATCATTCTTTTTGACAAAGATGTAATGATATTGGTTATATTTGGGTTAAGGGGGTTTAAACACGAGTCAGAAGCACATGCAGCTCTCAAATGCGCGTACAGTGTAAAGAAATCAGTATCTGCTCTTGACGGTGTTGTAGAAGTATCAATCGGAGTGACAACAGGGCAAGTGTACTGTGGTGTCGTCGGACATCCTTTAAGAAGAGAATTTACAGTTATAGGAGCTGTTGTCAATAAAGCTGCTAGACTCATGTGTGGCTTTCGCAACAAAATAACATGTGATGAAGCTACATTTATCAAAAGTAAAATGTCCAGTAATGGATTCACATTACAACCTCAAATTGAATTGAAAGGTATTATACAACCTGGCAAGATATACGAATATTCTGAGGAGATACGAGTTAAAGCATTATTTGATATACCAATGACTCCGCCATTATTAAATCGTTATGACGAATTGGAATATTTTGATAATTGGCTTAACAATTCTCACCCTTCATATCGAGATTTCGATGCTCTTTTATTAGTTGGAGATCCGAGGATTGGTAAAACAAGACTATTGGAATGGATGTCAAGAGAGGCTCAAAAAAGGGCCTACAAGACTTGCTTCCTTAGTTTGACGACAGTTCATTCAGCAACGCCATATTTGGCACTAAGTCAAATTATTAATCAAATCTTGGGACTACAAGAACCAATAACGGGTTTTACTAAAGAAGAAAATATAATTAAGTTATTAAAAGTATACAGTGAGGATTTATGTTATTTGAATAATATAATTAAAGTCCGCTTTGCATATCATGAAGGAATTGATTTCCAAAATGAACAGAAAAAAAAGGAGAAAGCCCATAAAATCTTTTTAAAACTTATACAATCGGTAAATGAAAATTACGTTATATTTTTAGATGACTTACAAAATTTAGATGCTTCATCTTGGGAGTTCATTTGCACTATGTTTAATGGATTAAAAATATTCATAGTAATGTCGGTGGTGCGTGGAAAATTTGATTCTATAAGAGGATGGCTGTATAATGTCTTTATCAATAATAATATAAGGAAAATTCTTTTGGGTCCATTATCATCAGGTTTTATCGCTCCACTTGCATGTCAAATTTTAGATGTCGATGCTGTACCTAGTGACTTGTGTAATGCACTAAGAATGAAATGTAACGGAATGCCTGGCATGATTGAAAACTTCATTATACATTTATTTTCAAGTGGGGCCTTAGAAATACAGAAAATTAATGCAGATGATTTAAAAAATTGGACGCATGAAGATTTACAGTTTCCAGATGAAAAATTCTTACACCCACAAGCTTTAAATACGAAGGATCAATCCGCTCTTGACCAATTAATAAATGAAGACGCTTCGGAAGAAATTGCAATTTGCATAGTTATTCATAAAGAAGAACTAGATGCTATTAAAGATATCCAAAACATCGATGCCCTTGTAATGATTCAAATAGATTCACTTACACCATATCAGCAATTGCTACTTAAAATTGCATCTGTCATTGGTAACGTTTTATCAAGAGATCTTTTAGAAAATATAATGTACGAAAATGATACTTTGATGACAGCAAAAGCTATAAAACGATTATTTGATATGAGAGTTTTAGCTTGTGCAAATGTCCTTAGGCTGAGAGACACCAATTTGGTATGTGACTGTTATTTTGATGACGATGAAGAAAGGAATGAAAACCTCCCAAAATATGCTTTCTGTAAAGTAATGAAATTTCGTAACAAAAATACTAGGAAAACATGTTATGAATTACTACCAATGAACCAAAAGAAAGAATTTCATTCAAGAATTGTTCAACACTTAGAGAATAACGAGCATAAATGTACTGATTGTGGAGGAAAGTTAATAGTAGTACGTTCATCCATGAACTTTCAAAGAGAAAGTATTGATAATAATTTGTACTGTACGACATCGCAGAATTCTTCTAGCATATCCAGTGATGATGAAATTAATGTAGATAATACAAATTTACAACCTCTTACTACTTCGAGTCAAGAAATTTTCAAAATGACTCGATCAGACTCACATAATGAATGTAGAACTATTCCTGAATGTACTACTCGAAGTATGAGTGAAACAGTACCTGGTAACAGTATTCAATCGAACATCGACCGCTCACGCATCACATCTATCTTAAAAATGAGAATGGATGATGAAAGCATAATAAGTAATAAGACAAGAAAACGAGTTACTATGTCAAACGTACACAATCAAACACGAAATACCATAGATTCGTCAAGATCGAATATGAAAGTTTTTAATTTCTTAAGACCCGTTGTAGAAGCCAGTACTTTCAGTGATTGGCACGATATAGGTGTCATAGATAGTCAAGATGACCTGGTACCGGATAAGTCTAGTAAAAAACTATTTAAAATCAGGATTGAGAAAAGGATATCATCAACTAATATCACAAAATGCACATGTTCAGAACTCAAAATAATGATTTATGAGCAGTTAATACATCATGCTATTCAAGCTGAAATGAAATTAAAAGGGATTGGATTTATAATTACGTATTGTTACTTAAATCTTCTCAATAATAATTATGACGTTATTTTACCTCAATTAGAAACTGCAGAGTTAATGTGTTGTGAAAAAAAGAACCAAGAAACCGAAATAAATATATTTGAAAAACGTAGGTGTTTAGGAAGAATATATTCTATACGGGCTGCCGTTCTTTTGATGACTGATAAATTAGTAGCTGCTAGAATAGAAATTGAAAAAGCAACTCGCATATATCACATTAATCTGCATAATGTGACGGAATATTTCAGACTACGAAGTATCGTGTCAGCAATAAAGAGGAAAAATAATCGTCATAATGAAATGATAATGAAGTCAGACTCTGTATTTTGTCTGAACGTTGCAACTCAATTATATTCTTTGATAGGAGAAGATAAAATCTCTAGAATATCTGCTTTCAGAGCCCTTGAATTAATACAAAACTTCGATTGTAAAGTGATCGACATATGTGATGCTTTGACTAATGCCTTTGAAGTGGAAATTGAGAGGGAAGCTATAGAATCTATGGCGGAAATTGAAAGATTAGCGCGTCAACTATTAGAGCGGTTACCAAGGGCAATCCAAATAGAGGAATTGTTTGCAGTGGGCAAACTTTTCGTTGCTATTTTTCGTGAAAGAATGATATGTGCGCAACTTGCCGCCGCCATACGCGCTGGCTTTCGTACGATAACAATCAGTCGATTCCTTCAAGCTGATAGCGTTACTATAGATATTATACCAGATTTATTCTATGTTCTTTTGGCCCGTCGTCGTATAGAAGAAGCTATAGACATTCTTCAACTCATTCTTCAAATAAGTGAATGTCATTCAACACATGACTGTGAAACTTGGTACTACGCGTTATGCATCGATATGATATTAGATGCCGGCTTTCAATTGGAATCACCTTACGAAATTAGTCGCTTCGCAGAATATGCGTTAGACAGAGGAAAAGCCGCTGGACCTAGCCGACGACGTTTAGTTGTTGGTCTATGGACTTATTGGTTGCGGTCAGACTTCGAAAGAAAATCTAAACGATACGAATCGGAAGCATTAAGTTGGGTTAACAACACCAATGATGATGGATCTTTAACTACCCTTATAAGTGCTCTGCGACTGGCTGATGGGATGTTGGAAAGTCTCGCTAAAAAAGTAGATGACTTAAGAAAGGTAAGTTATGACTTTAACTTTAGAATTTATTGGGTTGGCACAAAAGTAATGAGACACACTAGAAAAATCTATAACATTTCCTTTTTAAAATCAATTTTTTCGATAATATTCTAGAATGTTGTAGAACATTCTAGGTACTTCTGGTGTAGGGTATATAAAGCCGCGCTCGTGATTTGTTTAGTCAGTTTGAAGAAAAATGGACGAGCGACAAGTTCGAACACTATACTTATACGAGTACTTGTTAGGCCACAGTGCGCGGGCTGCGGCTGACAATATCAACAATGCATTAGGCGCTGGAAGTACAAGCCATGCGACGGTGTCCCGATGGTTTGACCGTTTTAAATCAGGAGACAGCAGCCTTGAAAGTCAGCCACGCTCAGGGCGACCACCCGCAGTGAATGATGACGATTTGCGCCGCGAACTGCAGTTGAATCCGGATGCTACCACTCGTGAATTAGCGGAAGCACTTAAATGCAGTCACCACGCCGTGGAACACCATCTGCATGAGCTTGGTTATCGAAAAGTTTTGGCTCGGTGGGTACCGCACATCCTTACAGACGCCAGTCGTGCAGTCCGTGTCGCTATCTGTCAGTCACTTTTGCTGCGAACCCGACGTAAAGAGTTTTTGTCAGATCTGGTTACTGGAGATGAATCATGGATTTATTACGAGAACGATACACGTCGTGCTTTTTGGCTGCCTCGAGAAGAAACGCCACCAACTCAACCGAAGCCGAGTCAAAAGAACCGCCGAAAAAATCTGCTTTGCTGTTTCTGGGATGCGCAAGGCATACTGTTTTATGACCTATTACACAATGAAACTATAAACGCTGACAAATATTCTACCCAGCTTACCAAATTATCTGCCGCTATCAAGAAAAAACGACGAAGACGAGTCAATGTAGTTTTACTGCACGATTACGCTCAACCTCACGTCGCATCTGTGGTTCGCCGGCAGTTGGAGAACTTGGGCTGGGAGACGATACCCCACCCACCTTATTCCCCAGACGTCGCCCCATCAGACTATCATTTGTTTAGAGCCCTGAAACAGCATTTGCGGGATAAACAATTTAATGATTTCTCTGACGTAGAGGCGGAGTTGAACAACTTTTTCAGGCACAGCCATCAGAGTTCTGGGCAAAAGGCATCCAAACTTTGCCGGATCGTTGGCAAGAAATCTTAGATACTAATGGTAATTACATCATTGACTAAATTTTTTTTTATTGTAATAATAATAAAAAAGTAAAAACTTAAACCAAGTGTCTCATTACTTTTGTGCCAACCCGATATTTATTACACTACAACAATTTTGTAGAAAATTCTATGCAGAGTAACTACCCTACAACACTTTTAAGAAATTCTGGTTCTTTCTAGGTGATCGAACCAAGGATGAATAAAATGTCACTTTGTTGTTCGTCTGTTAATTTATTTTAAACACGTAGAGGTTTAGAAGAACAGTATTAACATAAAAGATACATAATATAGCCGTTTATGTTGCAAAATATGTATACATCTTTCAATTGTCTCAATGGAATCAAAATTGATAGGGTGACCAAGTTCACGGAAAACTCCGTTATTATACTTTCTAAATAATTAAAAAAATATAACCTTATCAAAAGGTCGAAATTTAAAATTGAAGATAAGTGAGGTATCATATGGAAGAGCTTAATGTGCATATTTCCAAACATATTTTAATTCTATTTCAGAACAGTTAGTAAATTAGAAATTTATAGGGAACCTTCGGTTGGCGAATCTGCACTTGTCCAGTTACTTCATCATGTGTCGACACCATGTTATTATATACTATTTTAACATACCTATTCAAGTATAAATGGATTTTTTTATTATTATTATTTATTATTTGCATTTTTTCCTCTCTGTAAATAGTTTTCTCTAAAAATTCAGTCACTACAACTTTAAGGCGATTTAATAGCTTACTATCTCAACTTATACCCGTTTAGGTTGTAGATATGGTGGAACTACACTCAATAGCTGATCGGGAACTTACCAGACTGGAAAGGAGCACTCGTCTGATGCGTACTGTGTACCCTCGCTGGATCCTCCTCAAGGCAAACAGTAACAGCTTATCTGGTCGACTGGTTGCTGCAAACAACATGTATAATCAAGTAAGACAGTAATCTAATTACAAAACTCACTAAGTTTATTTCATAAGTGTTTGCTAAATAAATCTACCTTTTCTAGAAGAATTTTTCTAGAAGAAAGTCTCAATTTAATGTTCTGAGGAACTACTCTGTTGGCCCAGAAACAAAAATTCGGAAAATTTTCTTTCATTCTCATGAATATATGAAAATCATATCCGCGAAGATAATCTGTGCATAAAAGGCAGTGTCAAATTATCAAAAATGTTGCGTCTTTGGAGTCATAGGGGTTTCGGAAATAGACAAATCTTCATTTTCTGAAAACAAAGTAGGTCTTCAGGTATTGTAAGCATTGTTTTTATTTAGAAATCTTGTTCTAACAAGCAATTTAAGATGATACGCGCATAACTCGTGCATTATCTTACGTTTTATTTTCTTTTTGATTGATTGGGCAATCCTTACTTTAAAATAAACACTTAAGTCACATTATCTATATGTTGAATGACAAACTTGAAAACTATATGATGACGGGCTCAATGGCGCGGTGGTAGCGTTTCTACTATTGGGCTGAGAGTCGTGGGTTCGATCCCCACCCAGGACAAACATTTTTTGACTAACAATTATGTCTGTTCTGTGTCTGGGTGTTTTCTATTTATATTATATATATATATATATATATTTATATTTGTATTCCCCCGTTGTTTCTGATATCCGTAACAAAAGTGCCTAAGCTACTTACCTCAGAATCAGATCAATGTGTGTGATGTTGTCCGATATTTATTTATTTATGTTATGCAAATTAGACGGAATAATTAATTAGGAAAGTTTTGGTGTTTAAACCATTAAGGTTCTCTGTACGGTGACGATGATCGAAGACAATGTTGAAAATCGTAGCCAACGCCTAATATGATCTATTCCTAGGCTGAGGAAAAACTGGCACATATTTTATATGAGAGTCGCAAGAAAACGATACATAGCGCTATCGTTTTTAAGTCATTAGCCGAATTTTCGTTTACCTTACATTATAGCAAAATATGTTTTAAATGATTTTTATTTTGTTTCTATTTTCTTTTCCATTTCTGTTGTAATTTTTCTGCTAACAGTCAACCTATCATTAGCACAAAAATGATCCGATGCATAAATAAAAAAATTATTTTTGGATATTGTTAAGAATAGAATAGAATGGAGAATTGTTTATTTAGCACGAAATTACAAGTATATAACATTGATAGTATGATAATAGAAAAATCAAAATTAGGTACTAAAAAGGTCTCCGCTCAGCAATATGCCGCAGTGTTTAAGCTACGGCGCTGATTTTCAGCGGATACCTTAATTAAATAAATGAACAAACTAAAAAATAAAAATAAAAATATGTTTCAAGCTCAGTGGTACCCCTATGACCTGATTTTACTCCTACCTGAAAATTTATAATACAAACGTTACAAGCTAAAGACATTTTTATTAATTAAATGGTTATTATTGTTTTTCATCCACCAGCTTTTTATGTTAGATTTATTACCGCTTAAAGCACTCTTGAATCATGTATCACGTTGAAACGGTTTCATTTTTCTTTTATTATATTTGGATGACCAAATGTAATAAAAGAAAAATGAAACCGTTTCAAGAAAACTATTATTCGTTTTTTGTTACCCACACAGAATAGCTGATTTGACCTCGCGGGGGTTTCCCCTAGACTAGGAATCACTGCGTTAAGAATATTCACCAAAATCACAAATGTTTAATCCATAAAATTTGCTCATATGTCGATTTCAGGCGGTAGACGAATCACGACGCATATTCAACCACTTGGAGGAGTCCCTGGCGCTCGCTGCACGCTCCAAATCTAAATTGTGGATACAAAACGCCCGCAATGGTCGGTTCCCGATTTGGCAGATTGGGGCCGAACAGGCCAGAAGCTCCTGGCACCAGTTACTGTACAAAGTCACCATAAACAGGATACAATAACTTCAGCTTGATTATAACATTCTACCAATGGAAAAGCACATAATGATGGTGAAATCTTTGGTGGTTATAAAACTCCAGAAATTATGTTCCAATTTCGCCAAATAAGATAAGACTGCTATTATGCAGAGAGAAATAATATTGTCTCAAAACTTTATTAGAGCAATAATATCATCAACGCCATCTAACGAAAGAACAATGCGATTTCTGTATTCATATGGGTGTGCTGCAAAATGTTTGGTCTTAAGAAACATATTTGGGTTTATCTAATTTGAAATATAAATGTGTTACAATAAGAGATATATCAAAAACGCTCACCGCTAACTGTTTTCTGATAATAGTGATGCGTTCTCAGTCAGATACTGGTTTACAGATAAGGACAGAATACTTAACCTGCAAACATCTGTGTATGAAGCAACGAAGCGACAATGTTCGTTTGATAAATAACAGAACGAGTCCTTATTTTAGTTGTTATTACTTGTTATTACTTGTTATCGTGTTTCTTATCGACTGTTTTAAATAAAATGCCAGTTATATTAGTAAAATGTCAATGAAAACGTAACATATTTACTAGAAACGTGGCTCAGTGTCAGCATGGGTGACAATAACTTAATATTTGTGGGAACTTTTGCATCGTCGAAGGCTTTAAATGATTTCATCATATTCAACGGATTTTTGGCAGTGGAAAATGGAAAGGTAATTTATATTTTTATTTGAAATTTTTGGTTAAATAAGTAATTAAAAGGTCACTTAAATGGAACCTAGGTATATTTGTGTACCTACTATTCAACATTTTGATCAGGCAAATTCACAATTCTTAGTAGCTACATTTTTTTTTATTAATATATACCTCCATTAAAAAATATTAGGTAGGTGGGTAGTCATCATTTGATGTAATCATGGACACACAACCGTCGTTAGGTCGCACGTCAGGTTACCACAACATGTCAAATTTTCACAATTGATTTTCAACTTTACTCTTAAAGCACTAAGGTTTAAATAAGGAGTTTGACAGATTTGTATAGCCTGAGTGCTGTTGACTGTACTTACCTATGCAACACGGTAGATAAAGAAGTCTTTGGATGTTATTATTAATCAGATTACAGTTTACCTAATTTTATAACATATTTAAAAAGGAAAAAAATTAAAATAATACCTACATTAAATACCCGCCCAACTCCAATAGAAGTTTCGCTAATTATAGGGTTAGATAATATAAAATGTCACTATAAATTATCAACTTTAATTCTAACGTATTAAAGTTTTTAATTTATTGCAGACATGACAATGACAGTATACCTAAAATATTCTGAGAGTATTAACTGTTTTGCTGAAACCACGAAACACCTGTAATGCAATTCAGCTAATGTTAGTGTATAAAGCTTCAGCTGCAACCCGTTAAAATATAATAATCATAATATAATAAGTGTGATTATCGATAATAGTTTATTAAACATTTTTATATTTAGTTCATAATTACATTTCAATAAAGAGGCCTCTCATAAAACTTAAAAGAAAACGAGACGAATTGTCCAGCGCATTGCGACCTCGTAATAGAGACCTCATAAGATTTTAGTGGGTCACTGATTGATGATCAAGTGATGATCACATCTGTCAATTCAACTGTTTCTTTACAGATAACCAGAATAGGCAGTACAGTGGAATATGAAACTAAAAAAAGGGAAGGAGCCTTCACGAACTTCAAAATTGTCAAATTAAACGAAGACCAGTTCATTGTTCCGGGTTTCGTGGACTGCCACACGCACGCTCCACAGTTTCCCAACATTGGGCTGGGGTTAGACCGACCTCTTCTTGAATGGCTGGCCAAGTACACGTTCCCGTTAGAGAGTCGTTATGGCGATACAGAATTTGCTAGCAAAGTGTACGATATTGTTGTGGTATGTTTACTTACGCAGTTATACTTAATCGCCTATTTTATATGGGAACCTCACCTTACCAGGGTCGATGTAAAGGGGGGCAAACCGGGCAAATTTCCAGAGCAGCAAAAATTATCATTCTTAAAGGCCAGTCGGCCAAATTTGAATAACACAGAATTTCAACAATATCACAGTCATATTTTACATCTCATGTTTTGACGAAATATTATATGGCTAGTGCATTAAGGGATGAACGTTATTTTAGCCCGAATAGTAAAATAGCTGTATTAGGCTCTGATTTTCGTATCATGCAGTAGGCCTTTTCACCAGTGTCGGATTAAGCAAGATTACATTTTTTTAGGGGCCCTTGGTTTGCTAGAGATTGATTAAGTGTATATTTGTAAAAAAACTTTTCTTACAACACACTCTTTTCCTGATTTGTAACATTTCATTGTAAAAATAATCGCCAAAACAACTGTCCAGACTCAATTTGACTTATGTAAGTACAATGTGAGTATCATCACGCGCCTTCTTGTGTTTGAGGTTTAACAAAAAAATAATGGTACGTCATGATTTATGAATTTACATAAAAATGTGAGCACTCTTTCAGGCACCTAATATATTTTTTGTGATTACGATGACGAATAATTGGAATCAGTAAATTTACAAACGAAACAGAAAAGTCATCCTTTGCTTTCCAAATAACACAACACGACTAATCTGTAACTAGAGATTTATTTGTTAATTTATGTTTATACTTAAAAATAGGAGTTTAGACAGAAGCGTCATTTTATTTCTTGCATTATTACACTGACTTGAAAAATTAATTTATTCCCTCCCAATCGCGCGAGGCCCGTACCATTTGCTAATGTTGTTACGTGGCTAAACCGGCTGCGTGGCTACTGTTTTTAACGTTTTTTAAATTGCATGATAATAAAACACACCCACTGAATTACCTCATCTATTATTATAATAGTCATATGAAAATAATTTAAAAAACACACTTCTCATGATACTTCCACAATAATTCTTTTGTTTCACAGTAGAGACGTAAATGCAGGGAAGTAGAGAAAAATAATGTTTTCAAGCCTTGATTTTTTTTGCTGACTCTAAACTAAATGAAGGTGTGAAATGCAATACGCTATTGAAAAAACTATAATATCGATGTAGTAGCATATTATAAAACATTAAATAAATATCTCTATAATATCTAAAATTATAAAAATATTTTTAGAAACGACTATTGAATAATGGTACTACAACAGCGTGCTACTTCGGTTCGTTACATCTCAATGGTACTATGGAATTAGCAAAAAGCGTCCTAAGGCATCACCAGAGGGCGCTTGTGGGTAAGGTTAGCATGAACCTAAAGAATGACGCTGGATACTACAATGAAACAGCAAAAGAATTGGCCGAAGTTGAAACTTTTGTTAAAAACATTTTGGATTACAAGGTAATTATTTTTTATTGAAGACTTTTTTCCTATTTTTTACATAATGAATTGTTGTTATGATAAATAGTAGTTTATTTTGATTTTTAAGTGTCATTTAGCTATTAAGGGTCATGCTAATCAGGATCATACTTTAAGCGGTAAATTCGTATTCGCATGCTTTGCCCTTATCTCATAAGTCTAACGTTCAAAATATCTTTTAAGAGACAAAAAACAACCAATACGTGCGAATTCCCACGATGTTTTCAGTGTTCTGTCAGAAACATTAAGATCTTGAAATAAAAGTGAATTTGCTACAAGTATACAATTTAAGATTGACGCTGCGATTCACTCTTAATCTGCTTCTGTGCCAGTGTCAAAACGTGGTTTTGGTTACAAATCTTTTCACATTGAATTTATTAGAAAAAAAATTAGACAACAGCACATAGATACTACGTTAGACCTTATTGCATTAGACAACATAACATTCATTGCTAAGATTAGCTAAAGCCCTCGTATGAGGAGTATCTGAGATAACGAAGACACCGCAACACCCAGAACCGCGACAATTAGAGAAGTTCACATTCTACATTCACCAGACCGGGAATCGAACCGGCCTACGAACCACTCGACTACGGAGGTCGTCATATCTTTGCATTTATCGTGAAGTTTTCGAACATAAATCGATACCTATAAACATATAAAATAATATTACATTTACCTACTGTATTGTTTTTTTTTAGAATGACCTATTACAACCAGTAATTACACCGAGATTCGCAATCAGTTGTGATAAACAACTCATGACGGGATTGGCAGATATATCAGAAACTTACAACTGTAGAATTCAGGTACCATTTTCATATCTTTGTTACTAACCTACACAAAGAGGAATCAATTTTAGTGTAATGTTTAAATAAAAAAAAATTACTGATGTTAACAGCACATCCGACTATACAAAACTGTTCAATTTCTCCACTAGATTTTAAATATTAAAATTTGGAAGGTAGGGTTCAATATCAAATGCGGAAATTTGACATAAAATTTTAATAAAACCAACTGGATATTTCTATTGGGTTTGTCAAAGTTGATCTACTAAAGGTTTGAAAAAATACGTAAAAAAAGCATACCTATAACCTATAATCTTTTTAGGTTTGTTAGATTAAGAGCTGATAATTTCTTAAATATTTAATACTAGCCTTGATATAATTAACTTTCAGAGCCACATATCAGAGAATCAAAGTGAAATAGAGAATGTGCTACAAATGTTCCCAGAATGTAAAAGCTATACAGATATTTACGATAAGAGCCGTATTCTAAATAACAGGGTAAGTAATAATAGGTCAACGATAGTCTTTTCTTATTAAGTAGTTGATTTAACTCTAATATTTGTTGTATCTGGTTAATAAAAAAATAGTTAAAGAAACTGAAGTGAAACGTTTTCCGAAGAGGTGCAAAGAGGTGGGGTCTCATTTTCCTTTACTCCCAACACAAAACCGCTTTTCAATCCCAAAGAACTAGCGCAACGCAGTCTTACGTAACGACTAAGACTTCATAATTTTAGTATTTAATTAGATAGTATTCATAGCACCATTAAAGTAATGATAATGAGAGATGAAATAACACTTTTTAAACCAATTCTATAAAGGCTATGCTAATATTTACCAAAGAAAAATCATTTCATGAAAATTAAACGAATGGTCGATTGTTTGCTAAAAACAGAAACATAAATTACATTATTTGGCTCGATAGAAAAAAAAAATCTCAAAGACGACTCATATTTCATCTTAAGTACATAAAACATATATACAAAAATGGGTTTTAACATAATCTAAAATGATCAAAATATTTTTTTTATTACTGCATTAGCTTTTTTTTTCTGTGATTAAAAATGTATGAAATTAAGTGACCGTCTTTACTCTCGATTCGTATTTGTATGGGAACGTAAGCTAATGTAAGTACAAGAGGGCCTAAAGCACATATTTTATCGGATAGACGAGAATCATAATGAAGTAAGAATTGTTAATAGCTAATAATAATAGGATTTTAAGTATTAACATTTCTTGGTTTATTCAAATTCTTGTTTATTTGGTAAAAATATCTTGTACCCAATGTCTGATTAAGTTATGCTATATTCTCGAGTGATACTTCTCTCGACTAATGTTAGTGTGCGTGAAAATACCTTTTACTGATTAAAATTAACATAGATGTTTTATGACTATGGAACGTTTACAAAACACGATTTTAGTGCATAATGGCGCATGCGATATACTTATCGGAAGAGGAGACGAGGACACTCGCATCTAAGGGCGTGTCCATAGCGCACTGTCCATCATCCAACACCAGACTTAAGTCGGGACTCTGCCACGTCAGGAAGTACATAGATAATCAACTCGTCGTTGGACTCGGAACCGGTATTTCTTTCAAATTATCATTATTAATCAAATAAAACAAAAGAAGTATGATATGTCATACTTCTTTGATTTATCATTTGATTTACGAAGTTTCTATCACTTTTTAATTGGACTTCTCTGTATGAAATAAAAAAAGGAAGAAAAAAGCAGCTCTCGCTGACTTTCTTGTCGATTCTTCTCACTACAATCCTCACAAGTAAAAGCCTAAAGTGAATAAATGATTGAATTTATTTAATGTACTTTTACTTCTGTCTGTCTGAACGTTCAATCTGTCATATGTAAAACAATAATTATGTATTAGCTGCAATCTTGGTCAAAATACATGTTATTATATGATTTTTAACAAAGATGTGTCCGGCGGCGATGAGTCTTCGATACTTTACACGATGCGTCGCGCAATGGACGTGTCGATGCACCTACAACTGTGCGGTCATGAAGGCGCGGCTCTCAGCTGGAAGGAAGCCTTCTATCTAGCTACCCTTGGAGGTGCTAAAGGTACCGTTTATTTATTTACTAGCTAATTTCCTGCAATTTGTCAGCGTGAACAATAGCCCATGTTAGCCGTGTATGATGTATCTTCCCGTAGGTCAAAGAATTTAAAATCGGCCTTGTAGTTTCGGAGCCTATTCAATACAAACAAACAAATATTTTCTCTTTATTAAATTAGTTGAGACTATTTACCCTAGCTTCGATTTTTCTATGTATCATTTAATATTAAAGGTCTTACGGCTCATCTAACGACTGACCAATGAAAAATAGCCACGGAAATAGCTTACACTCCATATGTATTGACCAGTCTTTTCCTGTTACTGAGCCATTAGACTGTTATATGGACACTGGTGGCTGCCAGCGACTTCGTCCGCGTTTTCCATGATTTCTTCGCTCCTAAAAGTGGCAGCGTGATGTTATGTAGCCTAAAACCTTCCTCGATAAACGGTCTATTCAACACAAAATTTTTAATTTCGAACCAGTAGTTCCTGAGATTAGCGAGTTCAAAAACACAAACAAACTCTTCAGCTTTATAATATTAGTATAGATTAAGTTATGACCGACCAAGCAACCTTTTTTTCGAAATAATAGCCACTAGTCACTCATTTCTGACATTTCCGATATAGAAACTATTAACTTTGAAAGTAAAACACTGATTTAAAGGTGTCGTTAAAGATTTAATGTAAAAATAATTCAAATCAAGTTTCTCTCCATGGAAAAGGTATATTATATAGCTCAACTGCAACAGAGAAACCTAATTAGTAACCACTCTGCCCGTATTCCGAATATAGAACTTATCTACCTAACCTAGTGTGTGGGAATATACTCGTAGATAAGACCAACTTATTAACGAAATCGTTAATGTTCCAGCATTAAGATTGGAAGATAAAATCGGCAGCTTTGAAGTGGGTAAAGAGTTCGATGCGCTCGTCATAGATGCGTACGCGAATGGTGGACCGATCGATAAATTTGTGCACACTAGCGCCATCATTGAAGAAAGCGCCATTAATTTAATGGAAAAATTTATTCACTTGGGTGACGACAGGAACATCGTACAAGTTTACGTGAACGGCCGCAAAGTCAAAGATGCTATTGAGAATTGAAACTTGTATTCAATATTATAAAGTTTAAAAACATTAAACTATGCATTTCAAAAATGTGTCGTTTATCTATAAACCCTTATTATCCCCATATGATCCCATTGAGACATCGATTAAAATAAACCACAACTTCGTTACACTTTTTTTATTTTCGTGAAATTATTAATAAATTTGTATAGAAAAATGTGCAAATATAATGTGACAATTATAACTGAATTTACAAGCGAATAGAATAGTACACAAATACTTAAAAGAATTAAAGTTACAATCAATTCCGACATCGACATGTGGACGACATATAAAAATCACCTATGGGCATTTTCACAACCCCAATGCAACGCGAGGCCGCTCCGACGCTCTAGAAACTGATTAATATACTTAAAAACAAATCTTCGATGTCCCCTCATCGTATAACGTTATAATTATGTCTTATCATATTTGCAATACGACGTCACAACACAGTGTTATAAAAACGCCCTTATTTTTAGCAACTAACAATCCTTAAGTCTCTGCAAGTATCAAATAAATTCTATACATAGCAACACTGTAATTTGTTAAAGCTCTGAGATCTATACAAAAATTTATGAAAAAAAGATGTGAAAAAAATAATAATACTCAAATGCATCTGGTATTGTTAAAAAAATACTCAAATCGGTGGAATGATAAGTAATAAATGTATTCGAGTGTTAATGATAATAAACATACTAACAGTCTTGTAAAAATTATAAATATAATAATAATAATCTAAACAATATAGCAACTTATGTTATTGTACAAAATCTTATATTCGTATTAATGTTTTAAATTACAAATATACGTTAGTTAGAAATAGGACGCGCTTTTAATAAAGACAAAATAAATTTTACACATAGACCTTAAAGTTACATATTAGAAAAAAACACTGCTGGTTTTGTTATCACCATAAGTGGACTTTTATTTTTATATAATTCGTACTATCTAATGTGACAACAAAAGCAACAACTGTTTCCATCTCAATTTTACCTAGACAATAATTTACACTATTCGTTAATATACCTATAGCTAATCAATGAACACAGGAACTTGGACGAGCAACTCCAAGAAATGCAAGCCAACTATCGATTTATCAATCTATAAAAAAAATTACATATATAAATATGACGTTTCAAATAGTCGTAGCAAGGATTGGAAAATAACGATGGCTTCAAAGCATGTTTTTTTTTTACAATAAGAAACGATGTAATGTTTTGCAAACCTAGTCCGATACCTCCTAACACATTGAAACGGGCTTGTCTAGCTAAGCGTATGGATGTACGTCATCAACGCGAGTCCAACGCAACGCCAGCCGCTTAGTGTGTACTAACACTTAAGTATCTTAGACGTGAACATAAGATTAGCCGGCTGGACTAATGCACGACGGACCGCTAATAAAATGCCAAAGAATTAAGTTAACTAGCCACGGTACTTATTGAAGCGGCATCTTAAGTTTGTATTCACAGCCACCTCTAAACGTAACGTTATATGTTATGACGGTAAGCTATGTTCACATAAACATTAACATTAGAATTAATCAATTAAAACGCTAAGGTATTGTGTTCCTTTCGCCGACGTAAATGAAACGTCATTTAACTATTTAGTGACCATTTATATTACATTAAATAGTAAAAAATTTTGGGTTCTATTTTTTTAATTTAATGATAAGGTACTTTTTAATATTATGGCCACAGAACAGCCTCTTATAGCGGTGTCTATAGAACGCTTATGCCTAGAAACATATATTTGAGCTGCCTCCTTATGACACCAACAGTAATAAAAACCTAGCAAATTATATTAAATATTGTGATTAAAATAACCTAATTAAATTTTGCATTGTAAACACCTAAGATTTACCTAAAACAGTCTTATTGCATATATTAACTCAATTATCAACACCATTTCTAATTAAAAGTGTGCGATTCCGTGTGCATATTATATCGTGTGTTACGAAAAAGTTTTATTTTCTGTTAAAAACTATTAATTTATAAAAAAAAAGTTGCAGCAACGAAAATTCTAAATTCAAATATTTTATCTAAATTCAAATTTATATATTCAAAACGGAACACAGTGACAATTTTTCATTAGACATTTTTTTTTACAACTAGCACCTAGATTTTAAGATCCCAAAATTCTATTTACATTAAATTTGACAATATAATCAATATAACATTATAAATTCAATCGTGAAACGCAATTTGTACTATTTATTAATAGACGACATATTATTTCACTGTACACACAGACGGACAGATAGCTCCGTTCCACTCGAAATAGACCCGACATCGGTCGGCTAAATGGGGTATGCGTAAAAACATTGTAAAATATTTCAGTCTTTTACACGTCGCTATTATTTTTGGCGAAAACTTAAACGTTTACATCGTTACTAAATATAAAATTAGATGATCCAACGGATCTTTTACATGCATATTGTAGGATGTAATAAATAATATACTGGGCTTTAGAATACAAGGATGGATGTAATGAAAATGAATGAAAAAAGAAACATTGAAATTTTGGAATTTCATCTATTACATTAAATGTGAGCAAATTATTCATATGAGGTAGGAAAAATAAAAAAGTTACCAAACCAATATGAAATTCGAATGTGCTTATAATAATAACAACTACCTAAACCATAAAGGAATGTTACTTCTTCAATATAACGCGTTAAAATGATCGACATTATCGACATTGTTGTCCCAAAATATTATTTGGATCGATGAATCTTATTTGGAAAAATACCGAAAGTGAACAACTAAGAGACAAATTTATTTAAATAATAATCTCTTGAATTAATTATACAAAATCACCTTCCAAGCCACTCTTATTAGTTCCACGTGAAATATATAATAAACAAATATGTCACTAGCTAAAATGTAACACCTTTATCAGCTTTTATATACTACAAAAAAATATATAAACCACCGTTTAATAATGTTTATAAAAAAAGAAAAAACAAACATCTGTTAAAAATTCTTCTGAATAGAGAGCATTCATTAAAGAATCTGATGACCATTAGATATGTTTAAATAGAATTTCGTAATTATGGTCAAACACTCGTTCGTTATTTATTATAACGTAATGTATGAAAACAAAAGGAAAAGTTAATAGACCGTTTACACGATCAACTAAAAAGTTATGTAGCTTTATTGGTGTATTCCCATTGTGCTTTTTTATATATGTATTATAAATTAAGTTATACGGATTAATTCAAAAGTCAGTAATCGCCATTTTATTCAGACACCATCTTATATTTGAAATTGTATCATGATGTGTGTATGTAGTCATCGGGTCTTCACTTTGCTCACTTTACTGTCTAGTCCACATTGATGCAACAAATAATGTTTTATTGTTACATCAATGTAGACTGGAACAAAAGGAAAATAATTTCGTACGCCACTCACAACATTCATACGACGATTGGGGACAACGAGAATACACCAGTTAATTGCAACTAAAAAGTGTTGATAAAGTTCAATACCGATTAGCATTATCGATTAAATTAAAAAAATACTTTTATACTGGGCTTTAGAATATAACAGAGTAACAAATACTGCTATGATGTAACCATAGATATTACTAATTGTATTTTAACTAAACCTAAGTTGACTTCAAAAGTCAAATAAATAATAATGTATTGTGACATAATAACATCTCATCTATCCAAAGTCCACATTTATCTATTGTTCGATAAAAATTTGATCGTAAGCAGATAGCTTGAGAAATGAAATAGTTTTACATATAATTCTTGCTTGCCTATTTAGATACAAACACGTCATATTATTTAACACTGACAAAATGGCTATCGCTTATCCGAGCATGGATATTTGCCGTTTCGTTTATATTAAAGTATTATATAATACTAACAAAAATATAATAAGTGTCCGTAGAAACGTAAGAATACAAACATAACTGGGTAAAATAACAATACTGGCATCTATGTGTCGAAAAATAAAGAAAAGGACGGTATGCTGTCAAATGAAGCTTTTACAAATAACACATCAGTATGAAATGATGGTAAATTCGAATATCTTAAAAGCCAATGTGCACTTCACTTTTACTTTTAGTAAACGAAAACTCCAATAAAAAATATTTTCAAGATATGTCGAAACCCGAACCGCAGTACACTCTCGCTTCTATAAATGTGTATTGGAACTTTTAAAAGGTAAAAAATATGATGAGTTTGATATTTTATCAGTTACAACTATGGCGAACGCTGTACGATAACGACACACAGACAATACGTCTGGATACACACAAAATATCAACTTCATTTAATTTCAACTCTTAATACATTGCAGTTTACAAATTGTATTAACCTGACGCACTGCTGTGTATTGAAGATAAAACACTGAACAGAAAAATATTACATCTAAATATGTATTATTTCTGATAAATTCAGAAGAACTTGCGAGATATTACGTACAGGATGCGTCATGTAGCGCATGTCGCAGCATCTATTAAGTTAAAGACTGACCCGGTTTTTATCGTCACTCCAATCCTCATCTAATCTTAAGATATTTAAGACTCATGTGAATACTAGCAATGTAACTAGAGGGGAGAACTGTCAACCGTTGCTGGTATTATCATTCGGCTACCGATATTTAAAAACAATTAAGCCACTATATTACACTATAATAACGTTTGACTTTACGCTAATTTGACATTCGTGTAGGGATGAGCAAATGTTATCAGATTAAATATTACAAATTCATCGACAACAGTATATAATTTTCATTCTTTTCACTTTGGCGTGACTTTAAAGTGATATCCAAAGTTTTTACAATGATCTGAAGGTAGTGTAAATTGATTAATAAATATACCTACTATATTTAAAAAAAGTTGAGGTGGAAAGTTCAATATTAATATAAAAAACTACACTACCACAATAACGAGATTTTCTCAAAACTGCTTGATTAAAAAAATGGCTGCCGGTTTATAAACAACATAAAATGATGAACGAAAATAACATAGTGAAATCGAGAATCTTCCAACATTTCACTCATCTCCACTACCGGTGATCAGATCAATGACAAAAATCAAATTGTCTGGATGATAAGTGATCCACTTCAATCTCGCATCAATAAACAGATTACACGATCAATCTGACATCAATCTATAGGGAAATTCCGCTAATGTAAACGTAATTATAAAAAGTTAATTGCGCTTCAACTACAACCCTTTATGACACAGTTCTCGTTATTAAATCACAAAATAATAAGCATATCAGTCACCATTTGTGAGGAAGACATTGCACTAATAATATTGAACTTCAGGTCGACAGTACAATGGCAATAAGCAATGAGACTATTGTGTTGCAATTATAACGTAAAAATCAGAAGAATTTTGACCCTGTAGAACGATCTCGTAAAAGTCCGAACCCGAATTCGAATTCACTACGAAAGCGACATCCGCTTAACCTTGAATTTCGAAATGTCATACTTGAGACACGAGTGAAACAATCAAATTTGTTTTGTATTTATATACGAAAAAAATAATATTATTACTGAATTTAATGCAATTTCTACACTGATTGTCAAGCGGATTCGCTTTCGAATAGAATTTGGTCACTAGAGTGAATTCGAATTCGGGTTCGAATGTTTACGGAATCGCTCTGCTGATCGACGTTTCGTGGGCAGATCGATCGTGTAACGGACAGATTACCGCGAGCACGGGCAGGACGCGGGCGAGGTGGCGGGTCAGGCGGTCACTTTACGAGGCTGGAGAGCGAGCGGGACTTCAGTGTCGGAGTGCGCGAGCGGGCGGCACGCGGCGCCGCCGCAGCACACGCGCGCGCGCCGGGACCTACGCCGCGAGCTGCGACGCTCGCCACCTGTATACGTCGACACCGCGTCGCCCGACATAAGCACGATTAGAAACACACGCATAATATTTGATCAGTTTTGCTTATATTTTTAATTTAATTGATAATATTTTTAATGAAAATACTTAAAAAAAAAAAGAATGTTTAAAATATTTCTTTCGGCTGTTCGAGTGGACTACCTGAACATTGATGAAAATCTTTTTTCTCGTTTTCTCGTCACGTGTTCTTATTTTTTAAAGGAAAACGTGCGTAAATCGCGAAAGGGAAAAGTGTTTGAAGGATTCGTCAGTCCTGTATCAGTCACCAGTTACTACTTGATCTCCCACGCCGCCTTGGTTGGCTGGAAGATCTCTTATAGAAATAAGCCCACCCTCGCTTCTAATTTACCTACTATTCAGTCATGTTAAATTTTTGTTTTTTTTTTTTCATATAAAGTTCTAGGTAAATCAGTGGTTAGAGCGAAAGGTCGTGGGTTCGAGTTCCATCTCAGAATACCTCGAGGGCAAAGTGGATTTTTTAAGCATTTTTCATTAAGAACACTCATATAAGATTCATCTCGACCACTGGCAGTTTGACTGGACGTTACACTATCTGAACACTCGAAGTGTCCAATAACGTTCAAATTTGCAAAAGCTGACATGCGCAAGAGACTTTCAAACTCTCGCGCATGTGGACTTGTGCAAGTTTCGATGACGATGTTTTGTTGATAGCAAAATTTCATTTTCACTCCGTGGACACAGTAGTGAGTTGACTTTGCAATAAATTGTGGGAAGTTACTTGCTAGTGAACATAAGCCATACCAGCAGTTGTTGGCTTGGTCTATTAAGAGTTCTGATAATTTAACATCACTGTCATATGTCAACGCGGCCATTTACACTTTGACATCTCGTCATATCAGGAAGCTCCCTACCGAATATGTCCAAGGAGAGTTTCAATAGAGGGCCATCACGATCATATTATGTTTCAGCATTGATCGTTTAATCCAAGTTATCTTTTTACCTCAATGTTCACCACTTTTGAATTTAGAATTTTTTTTTTTAAATAAATCTATAAAAAATTTGAACCATCTTTTGATGCTGAAAAATATTTACCCGTGGTTTTCCATCATAGTCGTATACTGCATCGTCTCTAACTGGCTATTATCAATCAAGACGCTATTACAAAATAAGTCCGATAGCAAAATCGTCAACGTACATTTATTATAACAATATATGTTAAAAAAATAAAAAAGCAAATTTTATTCTAACGAAATATTAATTAATGTTGAGCTGTGGAACTAATCGAACGTTCGAAAATTAACTCTTATCTGCTGATTATATCGTTAACCTATTATTAAGACTAAGCAGTAAACGACCAGTAATCTCTACTAGACATACGATTCAAAGAAACTCTACATCGACCGATGTATCTATAATATACTATAGTTTTTTGTACAGCACCCTCTACTTTGACTATCAGGGGTCTCTAGAAATTAGATAAGGATTACTTGCAGTAATTTTTAACCCGCCTCTTTTGTTAATAAAACCATAACAAACTGTTTGCCTACCCTCCTTATTGAGGATACTAACTAGGCATTACTTTGTATATTTCAACAAGAATCTATGAAATTAAATACATCAAAAATAACAAATAAATATTGACGACATGACTCATCTAGAGAACAGTTCTGGTCACGATATCGTTAACACGAGCAAGAGCAGATAAATACTAAACTCCCCCCCCCCCTAATATTTTAATGATCCTCAAACGTTATAATATTTCCAGTCGATGTAGAGTAACATCTGCGAAAACCTGGAGCAGAATAATTAATTAAGGGGACAAAAGAGAAAAAATAAAAATTAACCGTGAATCGAGACGCAATGTACAGGTTTGCATATTAAAATGTGCAATTATTAACATTGTTTAATACATACTAATTTGCAAATCACATCCGACTCGTACTGACTCGATGATCGATTTAATTAAGTAAAGCAAACATCAGACACACCAAAAATTAAAACGGGGTTTTTAATGGAACCTTGAAATTGATTTTAAAACATTTGCACAATGATCTAAAAGTGTTGACGATGGTATTGTTATTCAGACAAAATATACCAAAATATTGCTTTAAAAATAATTGACTAGCGTTTCAAATCACTGTTTTCATGTCATAAAAGTTAAACGTCCTTTTCATAACATGGCGGATATAAACAAAATGGCTGCCAGCTGATCGAAATAACTCCATGAGCAAACGCATTACACAATTCTTACAATTTTAGATATCTTAACTTCATGAACACTGAAACGTTCGATTATTTCGATTATTCTTCTTTATTGAATTATTCTAATTATTATTCTCTTAACATGTGACCATCATCATTTTTTATTGTAAGAATTGTTTTGATGCAACATCTGTTTATTGAGAAAAAGTACAGTAATATCACATCTTTCAAAATAGCGATTCCATATATAATATGATATCTACATTAGTAATATAATAATCAAAACACAATGGCTGTGATTTTATCTTTCTATATTTGTTTTTATCCGATAATTAAAATTTCCACGAACGTACTGCCATCTAGCGAAGATTTTAACACTATGTACTGGACGTCTTCTCAACTTTATATATGTCAAAACACGACTGAGGTATCAATTCGAACGTGCTACAGATGATAGGTATGCATAAACAGTACAATTCAAAATAAATTAATTATAAAAAATTTAAAAATTGACGTCACCATCTATTCCAGTCACATCGCATATTACTCATAATAAAAACAAATAAATTCGAAATATCAGTTTATCAATCTACATAAAACAAATGTACTTTTAAAACTGTGCTTAACTCAAGATTTGTAGTTAAAACCAAAATTTGTTTAAGGGGCTCAATGTAGTATGTATTTTGAATCAAATGTTCATTCAAACATTCATATCTTGAGATATTTATTAAAGCATTTATATTACAACATTATTTTTTTACTGTTATTTAATGCTCTTGACATTAAAACAATAAAAAAATCATTATCAAGGTAACTGTCACTTAAAATTTGCTATTATTTATCTATGCGCGATTATAATTTTACGCATCAGCTGAAACGTGTGATTACCATTTTTTTACAATGATAATCCCTCAAATATTGAAATTCGAAATGACAGGTACAAGCGTGCGCATGTTAAAATTGTCACAAACAAACGTGCCGCATACTGTTCAATGTTAATGCTCATTGATGCAACAGTGACTTGATGTTTGTGACGAAAGAATAAAAAAACCGGCGACAATAGACCGATAAATACCGATTCACGTTTCCAAAATTTCTCAAATAAAAAAAAACAATGAGACAAAGGCATTGTTATGCTATACCAAACGCATGTCCCTTTATCTAATAATTGAAAACGTGAATTGATCATAATAAAAAAAAATCAATTAAAAGCAACACGTTCAACGCTCTACTTACACATCCATTAACTACATCCATCGCATAAGCTCCGAAACACGACATTTTAACCAAAACGAATATCAAAAATATATTTCAGATAAAAAAAAAAACAAACAAACAATGACGAACAGATGGGAAAATGGACCTACAAACTTTCACTTATATTCAATAACAGAAAAATCAACCGTGATTCATACCGCCTCAAAACAAAGGTGAACAATGAAAGTGCTAATACCGCTGCATTGATTATCTCGAGACACCGCCACAAATGCTTCGTGTTCTTTACTTACATCGTGACCGGTTTGTAACCGAGCAAATAGTAAAGACCTAATACATAAACGACATTAAGTATATTTACATAATATATTATAAATGTATAATACACATAAAAGCTCACGGTGATAAGTATACATGCGTCGTGGAATGGTCGTGCGGTGAAATGGAACGAACGATGTGTACGTTACATGCGATAAGCGGAAAGCGGCCCCCTTAGCGATCATACCGTGTTAATATTAATCGTATTGAAGACTTCATAGTTTCATTTGATAAATTATCAAGTGCCAGCAAACAATATAAAGAAAATATATTTATTTATTAGGTTTTGATCAACAAATTAGATCAGAAACATATATTTTGCACCATTAAGCTAGGATAAAGAAGGTTTTTAATGATAGTCAAAAGCGAACTTCTCAATCTAATAAAATTTATAATCAAGTGGGTTAAGTCCATTATAAATATGTATTTCTCTAATACAATTGAGGTAATTAGTTTTCATGAACTCAAATCGAATGATCAGAAAGTATAAAGCCTTCGCGCGCCTGTTAGTTCTCCGCACCGAAGCGAACGAACACGTAGGCACAGTACCGGGAGCGGATCAAAACAGAAACTCTAGGCAGGCGACAAGCACGTAGAGCGCTGCGCTCTCGCTGCGGGCGGACGCGGGGGCGGAGGGAGCACAGAGGGGTCGCGGGCGGTGGGCGGGCGCGGGGGCGGTCGCGTGGGCGGGGACGGGCGTACCGGCACGCGGCCGCGTCGCCTCCAGCGATCCAGCCGGCTGCAGGAACCACTCCGAGCGGGTCCGCATCCGCGCCCGCTGCCGCTCGTGCACCTACGCACCACCGCACCACGTCACCACGCAACCACCTACATACCAACGCCTCACGGCTCTGGTATAATCCCGTCTCACTGATTCGAACGCAGAATGTTGCCTAACCGCTTCAATATAATTTTAAGTAAACTTATTATTATCAATCAAATAGTGTTTTCCGAGCTGGAGATTAACACTTATCCAGTTGATTGAAAATCGTTTTTGAATAATAACTCAAACTCCATTATTTTTATGTATCATTCACAAAACAAAGTCTGCGTATTAGATTGCTCAGGTTCTCCATCGTGGTAGGAAGAATTTAAGAGTTGATACTATACAGTGTTGCCGTCTGCAACATCTACGTCTTTATGTCCTGCCAGGAGAACTATTACGAATATATTCAATAATAAGTTAACGAACATTGTAAGGGCATGTGTTGACGAGCTGATTTTTCACCGGGCCAGGCGACGGCCAAAAACCGGACATCAGTCGGTCCCCGGCCCGGTGAGGTAGGCAATCTATGAGGGAGTGTTGACAGAACAGGGAAACAGATGTTATCCCACACATTAATATCAGCTCGTTTTAGTTAGTTTTACATATCGAATATTTTTTAACTAATTTTTTCACTCGAATATATTTTTAAATTTCACAATGCTACAATTAACGATGTACTTGAAAACGAAACCCCTTTTTTTAAAATCCCAGTTAAATCAGATCTAATTGTTCCGCCGTGCTTGAATATCTTTTTGCAACTGTGTTTCTACACATATACCATGTAATAACGATTGTTATATTATGTATTAATGGTAGTTCCGTTAACATATTGCCGGCTTGCTATCATTTGTGATCCAACCGTACTCATGACCAATCGATGCAAGAATAATTCCGGAACAGATTGAAACCACCTCGTCAACGACCCTAAAAATAGAATCGATGATACAAATGACAATTGAAAAATACCAATGAATGAAATTGGTTAATAATTAATTTAGTTTTTTTTTATTGTTAAATTTTCGTAACCATAAATGAATTATGTAATTAATTATGACTATGATGCCCTATACTGAATCAAATAACGAAACGAAGTTTGTCGAAGACCCTACTATTTAATTTAAGAACATCCAAACATAACAAAACTTTTATTTATTAATGTGTGACAAGCTATGATACAAGGGTTACTATCGTTTTAAGCTACTCGACCTTATCTCACCTTTATTACTACTCAATCAAGGTCATGCACCAACGAGATCGTAACTACACACAATTGTTGAATTTTCATAATACCTTGATCCTTAAATTAATGTCAATAACAAACTTATTAAAATACTCAATTAGCCATGCCCTCGTATAAAACAAATGTGACCTCTTCTGCTTTAAATGCCAATACGTAATTAACTCTGAACGAATGAAAAATTTATTGCATAACATACAATTTGGACGTAAAACAATAATGGAACACGAAATTTTGAAGATATTAGAGGTATTAGTTGAATATGTTTAATGGTACGGTGAACAGAACATAATACTATAAATGCCACTGTAATTGAAAAAAAACTTCGTCCTATTCCAAACAAAAATACTTGAAAGAAGTTGATATAAATTTTTCAAATCTAAACTGTCATCCTTGTTCAAGATTGTTTTGTCAATTTTTCAACTCTGCTTCTAAAGATACTAGTGCGTATATAGTTGGGATAAACAAACAATAAAGCTTAATAAATTAATCTTTTTTTACACTTTATAAATTAAAAAAATAATAAAATTGTATCATAATAAAATTTAAGTTTGATCGATAACTATTGTAAGGCATTAATACATTTTAAGAAGACCAATATCTCAGTCTTGACCACCGAGGCTTCACAGGATCGAGTCATTCATAATATATATGAAATTGAATTCCAAATTAAAATTCGAATTTAAAGGAATATGACGAAGCGAAATGCAGTAAAAATAGTCTATAAACGTGTTAGATGTGATATTTGATATTCTGTAAGCCGTCCAAAACAAACTTGTTATTTAATGAAAACTTAATTATAGTGTTAACATGAAACAAGAATGTTAGTTTTATTTTATTTTTTTATTATTCGAAAAACATCCACTAGTACAATTTTGGTTAATATCAATTATATCATAAACGACACACAACCAAAAAAACATAATTTTATTTTACCATAACCTTTTAGGTGAACTAATGAAGGCTCTTTACTATTTCATTCGATCATGGAATGTTTATTTCATACCCTATTGACAAGACAGTAAAGTTTATATTTGTGCAGCTCAAAGCTTTGTGGTACCCAACACGTTTAGTGTGTCACACGTCTATAAGCATATCGTGTCGGAAATAAATGTCTCAGAAGTGAGATCTCCCATCCTCGTAAGTCGTCAAAAAACTAAATGTTCTAACACAACAGCCATAAGTTGTCCTAGATATTGTTTCATTATGATAGAAGAACAGATATCAGTCATGCAAATCAAGACGAGAACAAAACTCACTGAGAAAACATTGTAAGTCTTCACTTCTAAAAGTACAATCGCTAACAAAACTATCTAAAAATTTTTTTTAATATTTTTGAATAAAAATTTTAAATTATAAAAAAGTTATTTTTATAATGATACTTTATATACACGAGTTAAGAATTATTGATATTTTATTATAACTTTTCGTAAACAATAATAATTGACACGTTAAATATTTGTTATTATTACTAATGTGACAACTAGGAAAAAATAAGTGAAATTATTTTTTTATCACAAAAGTATGTGATTAAAATAAAATACTTGTTTCGCATTTGCAAACATTTTCTACTGATATAAACTACCACAATATTTCTCTGTGAGCGATGTTCGGGAGACAGTAAAGTACAGAACAGACTGGGCGTGGAAGGCACTACAAGTGGATACTGATCAAACTGGTCGTCACCATCACTTATAGTAAACGTCCTTTAGTGAGCGCTAGAATCCAAACACATATCGTTTATACACAACCTACAAAACATCAATTAAACGCAAACATAATCATCACACCTCGAAAATTTGTTAAATATGTCTGTCAAACTCACTCATTTTCAAAATAACCAATGGCCAAATAGTCTTAAGCGTTTAAAAACAAGCCTATAATTTAATTTTACTTGCAATCAAAGTATGTTTAATTATATTGAAAAGGTTTATATTTATTATTTTTTTATAAATATATTTACTAAAATAAAGTTACAGTTTTGTCGCTGTCTATACATTATCTTAACAGTATTGCTAACTACAAAATTCATGATGAAATAATTAAAGATTAGAGTTCTATTTGCCTTCTTGATATTTTAATCTGTAATCAAATATTATGTTGACGATTCGCTTACATACAAGTGACTAACGAAATATTTTTTTCAAGAATTTTCCTTCCTAGAACACGGAGATAATTTTAACATAAGCATTAAACATAATAGAGCACTATTTTTCTACAGGACATATACGGAAACATACCTGGGGTAGATAGGAAAGACTCTTAGTGCTTTCCGCATACTTGTTGATTGCACGTAACTCTTCCAGAGTCATGTGCGGACTGGAATTGCTTCGAGAGGACTGCGAAGAGGAGCTGACAGACACCTGAAAGTTTTATGTTAATATGTTGCAAAGACTTGAGTTTGTTTATAGTTGTTACCTGTGTAGTCTTTGTCCACCATACATATAACAATAACATTACATGCTGCAAAGACGATATAGGAGATAATAGTGCCAATATATTATAATAATTATTATATATCGGCAAAACTGATAAAATATTTACACTGTTAGCCTGATGTCGATTTTCCTAACTTCTGAAAATAGTAATCGCGCAGAGCTCTAGATAACAAACTAGGCATTATTATAGTCTTCCAATCTAGGATTTTCTTCTATCTAGATCTAAGATATAAAAAAAAAGATATTTCCAATTCTATTTTTTATGATCTTTATAAAAATTTTAAGTACTGCTAAATACTAATAAATAATAATACTTAAAAATTGAACCGTTTCGACTTTTCAACCTTGCAATTTTCCATAAGATATAGAATTGTGAATATAAAATTTATAAAAAATACATTTAGTTCCAACTTCAAAATTGATTTTAAACTCTACCTTCAATGTATTAAAGTTTAAAATCAAGCAAAGATAATTTGGCGATTTTGTCTAACGTGCTATTGACTGTACATTAGTGAACCATACTAGCTGAATCTCACTGTACCACTTTGAAAGCTTACCTTGAAAACACTTTCCTCCAACGATATGGACAGCCTAGTGCAAGAATCTAGCAGACTATGTTCGGGAATGATGCCTAATCCAAGTACGCCCCCCGCCCCTCCTCCCCCCACTACGCCCATTAAAGCGGGCATCGACTGGCATTCCTCGGACTTTGTTAAACCTGTCAATCAATACAAACATTTTCTTACATACTTACGTTGACGCTCAACTGTAAATATATTTTCAAAACAACACAGTGACTGAACGCTTTATAGTTGGTTCCCAATAATTAAAAATTAGTCTTAATTATGCGAGGATAGAGATTTAATTTGTATAAACGGGGTCTATGTGTTTATACACATTAATCGTATGTCTTTTTAATGAGCACCTACTTCGTCTTATGAGTACCTTTCATACCGGGATACTTGTAAAACACCAACAAACCTCAAACGACTAAATATAAAACATCATAAACAAAAGCATTCGTACGATGAGTTTTCATAATATTACGCGAAACTCGACGATGGCAGCACTAGCACATATAAGGAATAAACAAACAAACTTTTTCGAACATTGCGCCTTTTGAAAATTATAAATTCCTTTCCTTTTAACATAAAAAATTACACTCTTTCTAATTAAAATTCGAAAAATTAAAATTGCTCTCTACTTTACTCTATGCTTTACTATGTTTTTTTTTTTCAATTTCAAATTCAAAATTCATTCATTTTAAAATAAGATAAAGTACATGTTATGAATAAATTATATAATAATACACAACACCAGACTTGCAAAATATTTTAAATAGCCAAAACATTAAAATCTCTCGAGTCTCGTGTCTCTCTCACTACGGGATGTTGGCAGAATTTCTGTGTATAACGGAACAAAGCTATAATAAAAAAAAAAGTAAATTAAACATGGTATCATTACGTTTCAAATAAAATACCACCCCTCCCCCCCACCCCCCCTTCTGACACATGGACATAATTTTTGACGTTTACAATAGCATGTACTAGTGCTGCAATCTAGTGACACAAAGTTGCCATAATACGTCATAGGCGTTACATTTTACTTTCATACAATAATTTAATTTACTTCTAGAGCGTTAATAACTGCAAGCGTAACTATGTAAATACTTCACAATCCTTTCATTTATAAATAAAACACAATCGTATAATGTCACGCGCGACAGTACAATAATAGTTTTTTTTTTTAATGCTATTACTACGCGTACTAGTACAAAAAACTTTGTACTAGTACGCGTAAAATTAACCCTGTATAATATGTTAGTATAACATTAAGTTAAAATATATGCAAAAATAAAGACTATAGCAACAATATAGATAAAGTGATCTACAACTCGGAAAACATTGTGCTACCAACCCCAAATGATACTGAGCGACATCTATATAATATACAATGTATATGATAATGAATTATTGTTTTACAACCAATCGATACTGTTAGGTGAAATGTAATTACGACTTCACCGATAAACTCACCAAAATAAAAAAGATCGACTAACTTAGCAACTCGACTATTTAACAACTTAAACGATTTTCATTGAGATGACCTGCGAAAGATTATCCCCGATTTATATTTGATGTATTTAAATACATAACAATAAATAACTTTGTAATATATGCAATGGCATCGCATATCCTTTTATCGCGTCCTTTTAATGGCACAGCAAAAACAGCCGTTTTTTAAACATAGTTTTAAGAAAGTTGAAAATAGTAAAATGTAGTGTACACTTTATAAGTGCTTTATTATAAAGAAAATCAAAAATTGTTTGAGTTATTATAACAACTAACTTATAATGTATTATCGCTTGATAAATAAAGGCTAGGTAATAAAAATAATTATATCTTATATTGTAATCTTAAATCACATTTACCATGTTTTATGTTATAAAATTAACGCCACGTAACTACTATGCACTCACGGCTACGTAAAAATATACTCTCATCAGGATATCCAAAAATGGAAAATTTTTGGGAGTAATTTTACAAACAATGTATTAGTTTTTAATCATGATTAAGGTTTTTCTTTCATTTTTTTACGTAACTCTATGCGTCCTTCATAGTAATCAATGACAGCTTCAATCAATTAAATATCAATGTATGGGACAGAGCTGGAAAGGAAGGCATATGTGCATCTTTGTCATTGTGTGACGGTATGAGTGATTTATCTATATTAGCGAACAGGGTTCTGAGTGATCATTATCAATGATAATTACCGAGATAATTATCTTGATAATTATAAAACACTACACACTCTTTTTGTATTTTAGGACTCCCCTCTAATTATAAAATTAGAGGGGAATCATCTTTAAACAACTGTCAAATATGTTTTTTTTATACAAAAAATGGTCTAGAATAGATCTACAAAACAAAACACAAATAAGCCCCCTTTTATTATAAAATATCTTATTTATATTTTCATTTCACTTTTCACATTTGTTTTATTTTTTATAATTTAAAATGACAAAAATAAATGTTCATTCAATTATAAATACCTATCCGTATTTAAAAAAAAAATATTTTTGCCAGTAACTATTGATAGTTATCCAAAAAATAATTATCTTAATAATTACGAACCCTGTTAGAGCCTTTGGTTGAGCCAATTATTAGTTGAATATGTGCATATTGAATATATATGCAAATTCAACTAATAATTATCAATAATTTTATATCTTAATACTATTCTAGCACAAGTATTAATAAAGTGTGATATGTGCTTACCTTCTAGGTTAAATTTATTTCCCCATCGATCACATTCACACTGTAACCATGTCTTCTCAGCTTCTAACGATAACTGTCCTGTAAAAAAGTAAAATAAACAACTTAAAGGTCTCCGTGAAAGAGTGGCGAACACAGCGGATTAAAGGTTCTTTCATTGCTCGTCTGAAGATCGATACCAGGCCGGACTGGATTTATCTGACACATAATTTCTTCACCAAATGACGGGAATTCAGACACATGAGTGAATTCGAATTCGGTTTCGGATTTTTACAGAATCGCCCTGCTGATTGAACCAAATGCACTGAACGTTGGGCATAATTGGATATATGGAATAGGCGCGTAGGATAAAGGGTTGATATTGTCTTGTCGAACGAATACTACCTAGCCAGCCACCTTACCAGATAGATACAATATATCAAATATTGACTGAATTTTATTCAAGTCGATGTCAATCGAATCGGAGCCAATACAGATACGCGGTACAACTAGGCTCTAATTTCGCTGGACCAGGTGAGCTCCTTGCCGGATCCCGGGTCCTTCGACCCTGGAAGTTACTCGCAGCGGGTTTTGCCAGGTAGAGGCAGGCCAACAATTAAGCCTATCCTTTTCATGACAGGTGCGGGGTTGGAGAACCCTGTGGCCCAACTGTGTAAAAAATTCTTTCACAAATTATGTATTTGACAACACAAGAACAACAAAACGAAATGAATTATCTATGACATTCTATATCATGCAAAACATCATTCGTTCCGAAAACAATTGTGACTTCAAAAATTACACAATTCCATAAATCACTATCACAACAGCTATACGTTTGAAAGTGATTGTGACAGATTTAATAATTAGACAATTAGGCCACTGGTTTAAGGCTTCAGGTTGCATATCTACTGTGTTAAAAAAAGGTTCTAATTCTGCGACAATTTTCAGTTTTAGCTTTGAACCAACAGGAATAAAACACATTTTTCAATGATTCCAATAATCACTTCGTTACAAAAAGCCTTGTGAAAATAAGTGATCGCCCGATTCTTAAAATATATATATATATATCAAAATACGACTAGAAGTTTCTATTCCATTACTTAAAAGTGATAAGTAAATCGTATAATACTCGTCAATTACCGGTGGCTATTTTAAGACCAAGTTAATTAATCCCTGCAATTGGTCACAGTCTGTTTCTAATTCAGTCTTGACAAAGACTCGTACAAATGATTATTTGTATATTGCGTTAATTACTCTAAAACACAATATATTTCGATACAAGACGTATCTGGCGGACTGCACCCATTCGAATGATTCTATCTTTCGAGACTGGAACAATCCTACCACTAGTTTCGAAGGATCCTGTGTTTCTTCTCTTTGTTTAAATTGCTAGAAAAGCTTCATCTATTTATTACTTAAGATAGTTAGGGGGAGAGAGAAGTAATCGAACATGTTTTATTTCTCAGATTAATCATCAGACAACTGATAATTGAAAACACTCTACCATCTTTGTTACGATTGTCTTGTTCTTTAGCCACATTGCTAGAAAACAGGGACTTAACATAAGTAATGACCACAGCCCTACTAACCAATCTGGATGTTACAAAGTATACTCCACATCATAAAAGATATATGTAGATTGAAGAACATCATCAAAGAAAAATTAAACTCTAAAGGGAGTCACAAAAGATATATAGGAATTGATACTATAATTTTTGATACTATAAAAAATCATCAAGATGCATTCCCTATTAATGTTATTGTTTTTTAAGCTGTATTAAAATCGATGAAACACTTTTGATAACAATGTAATGTTTTCTCATAACAGACAAAGTCGTCTCCGATCAGAACACAAACACGCTCGACGATTTCTTTGTAAAAGTCGTAACTTCCTGTATCATATTTTTTCTTAACAGACAATACATTGATAAATTACGTCACGCGAGAATTGAACCGTATCTTCTTCAAAAGTATAGCAGCATTAATAACCCAAAAATGCAGAAATTTTGCACAAAAGTTGCACTCGGTAAGTATCTAATAAATAACATTATAGTTAACTGTAGACTTGCAAATAGCCGTTAAATTACTAGCGCTATGAATTAGCGACCGAATACAATAAAATTGCGACCGCAAACTCTGTCGAGACTTGTATACGCCTTCTAGTAGCAATAGTTTTTTGTCAGCAGCTAATCAATGAAAGAATAATACTAAACGCAACTGACAGATCCCCTATATACAAAAATTAAAATATAAAAAAATGTATATATATACAAAAATATTTGTACTACTCGTACGAATTAACATGACAACCATATTATTACTCTGAAAACATAATTGTGTCTATTTTTATGCACGAATCCAAAGAAAGGCATTTTTCCATGATTTATGAGGCAACGGATGTAGGATGTAGAGTAGCTCAGTGGCGTAGTGGA